CTCAGAGTTAGACTGGAAAAACCCCTGCTTCTTTGCAGCACTTTTTTTAGTTTATCTTTTCTAAAAAACAATATATAATCATTTAGAAAAAGTACATAAAACAAAAAATCCTGTCACTCAGACACATCTTTACCATCTTTGTATATACATTTTTCCAAATTCTTTTTTATGTATATATATGTGTGTGTGTATATATTACACATACAGATATATTTTAAGTAGTTTTGATAATAAAAACCTCTATAAAAATAATAAACATTTCATTTTTAAAGGCACCCCAGGACCTTTCAGAATTAACCACGATATCCTCAGTAACCATCAATGTCCCACCGGATTAAAATCTTTGTGATTTCTTTTTCCTCTTCAGGTGCCAGAAATTATGGGAGTTATCTGTGCTCAATTAACCATAATCAGCCATCCTAAAGTCCGCCAACAAATCATAAATACTGTGAGTTTGTTTATCTCCAGGCCCAAGTACACAGATATAGTGATCAGCCACCTTCTGTGTCATCCAATACCATATGACAGGTAACAAAACTTAGGCTCTTCTCTGAATTAAATTAGGATATATGACACAGCTCTGAATGTTGTGGAACGTTCTGGACTTCAAAAATCTAGCAATGTTCTTGTAGAGGAGAGAAGATATAGACAGATTCCTGCAATATAAATTAGAATATAGTGCATAAACATAAGGAAACACTCCAATAAATTCAGAATAAAGAACATTCTACAAGGTAGTTAAGGGGAAGGATGTCCTAAAGGAATTCTGCAGTCTTGTGGACTCCACCCCCAACTCCAGCTTTCTGTACTCTACCCCCTACTCCAGTGAGTGAAAACTACAACTCTCAGCAGTACCAGGGAGAGAACTGCAAGGACCCAAGCAGAGCAAAGCAGACATTCTGGGACTTTGGGGGATAAATAGGGCGCCATTTCCTCTGTCTCTCTGCTTGGGATAGGGATCTCTGGAGTGTGTGACTCCGGCTTTCAGTTAGTTTGTTACCAGAGCTAGAAGTCAGCCTAGCTGGTAAGATATTCTGGTTACTTTGTGTCCCTCTCTCTTTCCCTGGGTTGTTCCTTTTCCCCTTTTGTAAATAAACCCACTGTTGACCCTTTTTGTGTGTGTCTGCAGTACAACTGAATTTTAAGCAAGGGTGAGGCCCCACAGACAGGTGGCCCAGTTCACACTGGGATGCCCTGTATCAGACTGCCCTCTTCAAAAAAGTTAATATCATGAAGGAAAAAATTGTGCTGGGTCAGTTCTAGATAAAACACTAAAAACACATAGCAAAGTGCAATATGTTTCAGTATCTTAATTTATCCTGAATCAAAAACTAAAAAAGAAAAAATTTAGGAGATTTAAATATAGACTGTCAGATTATTAAATCAATGTAATTTTATTAGGTGTGAAATAATAGTATGGTTATACAAAAGAACGTCCTTATCCTTAGGAGGTGTAGATACTGAAGTTATTTCTCAAGTGACTTGATAATGACATATATATCACTATGTATATATAAAGTATATATGAAAGTATAAATATATACATAAATAATAATAAACTATAAACAAAAGAAAGTGCTTTTTTTTTATACTAATGGTTCTCAGCGTTGGAAGCATCAGGAAGTTCCAGATGCTTTATGGGGAATGCAAGTGAGACATTAGTAATACAATACACAGGTCCAGCTACTGGTCACCGGAAGCTCAAATGTAGGGACGACGGCTAGTGTTAGGTCAGCAAAGGCTTGTTCAGAGACCAGTACCCTGAGGAGATGATTTGACTACTGTCACAAAAAGCCATCTGCCCGATTAAGAAAGGGCATGTTTTACAGGTTTGGGGAACCAGGATGGAGAACAATCACTTCAGTTTTATTGGCTAGTAAGCAGGTTGGGACAAAGAAATGTGGACTTGGCTGAAGTTTACTGGCTAGTCACAGCACTGAGGTGACTGGAGTTTTGAATTTCTGTTAATGCTCTCTTCCTCCTCTGGATGCTCTCAGCTCCCAGTTGGTTTAGAGCTCAGCTCGAGTTGTTAATGAGCCTTGATGAATTTTGAGTTTTAGGCAAGTGTAAGTTTAAGGACATGACATTAGCAAAGGTGTAGAGTTTCCAAATCCCTTTTTGGTGAAATGAATGGTTTGGAGCTGGTAGAATACAAGGTGTGTGATAGAGAAACTGCGAGGTTAAAAAGATGTTAGGACAGTTTGTGAATGGTCTGGAAGTCTATGCTCAGGCAGTGGGAGCTGGATTCTTTAAAACCTTAAGAGTTTCTGTTACAAAATCAGATAGTAAATCTTTGGCACCCTGAAGAACTGAGCATGGAGGAAAATCTCTTTTAGATTGGATTTCAGACATATTTTAGGAAGGTCATGGGAGGCCTAAGATAAGCCATTCTCCTGAGCCCTCTTACTCTGGAATTTCTAGGCATCTGACTGAGGTGTGGAGAACTCTGGAGGTAGAGCTTTCCAACTCAACCTGGGTTCTGTGGAGACTCCTGAGGAAGCTGCAGAAATGCCACAATGTGCCCACCCAAGAGAAGATGACCTACATAGCTGTTGCTGTAAGCCGTTGAGATGTGCCCCTCCCTCTTCAGCCACAGTGCTCCCTCTGGAATAATTGGCCCAACACCCTGACTGGAGAGCCTTCCTTTTCATCTCTTGAAGTTTGCCTCAGTTATCCATTTATAAATCTACAGTATCTCTACCAAGGGGTCGACATAGAGAAGGCTGGGGAGAGTAAAAGAATCAGAATGGTTTAATGTATTTTAAACATTCCTTCTCTAGTTCTTTAAAAAAAAAATACTTAGCACCATAAGAGTAATACAAATGGAAAAAAAAAAGTCAAATAATACAGAAGAGTATAAAAGAAAGCAAAGGTCCTGCTTGAGCAGAAGCCTGCACACATTTTCTGTAAAGAAACAGTAAATATTTTAGGTCATAGTCTCTAGCACATAATCTTTGGATTTTTTTTTTTTAAAGATTTATTTATTTGTGCATACAGAACTGGGGTATAGGCCAGAGGCTCAGGGGCGGCGAGAGGCTTCACCAGAGACAGAGTGGGGAGCAGAACAGGCGGATCGACGAAGTACACTGCTGAGGGGAGCAGCGGGCGGGTCAGGAGAGGTCTGCCACACCATGTGGTCACCTCCGGGGCAGGCGGGAATCGAACTCATGTGGAAGCGGCTTTAGATTCTCAGTGCTGTGCTTTAACCCGCTGCGCCACCAGGGAGGGCCAATCTTTGGATTTTTAACAAGGCATTAAACATCTAAAGACCAGGGCTTTCCCTGGTGGCACAACAGGTTTGAACACTGCATTATGAAGCTCTCTGAAGCCACTGCAGCACGAGTTCAATCCCCGGCCAGGGAACTGACCCAAATGGCGTGACAGGCCTCTTCTAACCTGCCTGCTGCTACCCTCAGCAGTGTACTTTGTCAAACTGCCTGTTCTGCTCCCCACTCTGTCTCTGGTGAATATTCTCACCCACCACACCTCTGACCTATACCCCAGTTCTGTAAGCATAAATAAATCTTAAAAAAAAAATCTAAAGACCATTTATAACTCATGACTGTGCCCTTGCTCTAAAAATAAGCTTTCTAGAAGTGTTTATACATACATAATCTTTTATGTCTATATATATGGTAAGCTTCCTTCCTCTCCCTTTTTTTCTTAATTAAATGCTTTGCCTTTTTTAGAGCAGTTTCCGGTTCACAGCTAAACTGAGCAGAACATATACACAATGTCTATATAATCCTTCCTCCTACATGCATAACTTTCCCTACTATCAATATATACATTTTGCTTAATTGTCTTTCCTATTGGTCTATGGTTCAGCTTTTTCTAGCCTAAGCTATCATACATTTCTTTTTAGTTTCCAAATTTATCGACATCTTAATTATCTCCTCTTCTCTCTGTTCTTATGAGTTTATGCTGTTTTTAAAATCCTTATTGATGTCATTTTCATGTAGTTTCAGTAGACAGAGAAGCTATAATTTTAATCTATAAAACTATGTATATGTCTCTTTGTACGCATATTAACAGGACTATACTACAAATACTGTTTAACCTATTTTTTCCCCTTTAACAATATATGAACTACTTTCTGTATCAATATGGGCTCTGTACTAGTCTTTTCATGTCTGCATAGTAATCTATTTTAATTATATTTTTGAAAATAGGTAACGTTTATATAGCACACATCCATTTATTTCATTAAGTTTCATATTTGTGAACACTGATAACTTTCAAACTTTTGCTATTAAAACAGTGCAAACAGTAATCAGTTCTTTTTCCTCTCATTTCCAAGTCTTTGCATCGATTACTTCTGTCATTCTGCCTATGGATTAGTAGTAGATCACAAAAGCATGTTCTAACACAAGAAGTAAAGCAAATGTCATGATTCAAGCTAAGTAGTATTCAGGTTTGCCATGTACCTTTTCTTCCACAGGTAACAGATGCCCTTTATGAGGTATTCATGGGAAACAAGCTCCGAGCAGCCACATTCCGACTCTTTCCTCAGCTTCTCCTGACTCTGCTCATCCAGATTCACCACAGCATCAACCTCACCATGTCTGATGTCACCATTCCAAGTGGCCTGTACGCAGAGCAGAAAATGTCAGAGGTCACCCCTTTGTGGTACTGCCTGTTGTGATTTCATTACTTCAGCCAACCCTTACTAAGCTCTGACCAGTGTTGGGCTTTTGCCAAGATGCAGCTCCCAACTGTGGGGGTAGCCAATAGTCTGCTTCCCTAGTGAGACAGCAAGATTAAATGCCCAGGAATCATTCTAGGTTCTCATTGGTTATCTTTGATTTGTCAATACCGAGGCAACTTTGGCTGTCAGATGCCCTGCTAAATAATATATGATCTCATGCTAGCCTTTTCTTGATAAATCAAGTGGAGATGGAAACAAGCAAAACATTCTTAAACCCACCCCCAAAATAGTGCTGATCCCTGGTTGAACAATACTTCCTTTCCGTTTTTTTTGCACAAAAAGTTGTTTTTAATTCTCTGTTTCCAGTAGAAATGTCTTAGTGTCAGTGTGGATTCTCTTCAGAGGTAGTGCTACACAATGTAGAATAATTAGTCTCCTGCCTAGGAGTCAGGAGAATTGAATTCTAATTCTCATTCATCCATTTAAGTAGCTGTTTACTCTAGGCAAAATTTTCTGTTGTTTTGTGCCCCTGTTTCCTTAGATGTTTCCTTACAACTTCAAGACTCTTTGATGTTATGTCCAGGATACTGGTTCAATAAGTAGTTTTAAAAAGCAGTCGACATAAATTTTATAGGGTAGAAGTTATATCTAAATGAAACTTTAAAAAGCAGTGGGTATCAGATTAGCAACCCATACCATATATTTTCTCATAGATTTCTTTCCAAACTCCCACAGAAACAAAACCCAGTTAAAGTTCCCTATGCTAAGAATTTTTAAGACTGGGCTTTCAAGTTATCACAGCGTTAAGAGTCTTAGGAGAAATCTAGCAAGGAGAAAATCACTAGCTAGTAGCTGTCAGTTTATGGTCCTCTTCTGTGAGAGATGGGTGGTAATGTACTGATCAGTGGAGAGACCCTTCCTGTTCCCTCACTTGTACTGTTTTTGTGGGATTTAGTTTTGCCATACAAGCTACAAAGACACTCCTCCTGAGAACATTGTGCTGGCATGAATTCAACACCATGGAAAAGAACAAAGGATGGGCCCTCCTGGAAGAAAAAGATTGCCATCTGCAGGGAGTATCTCTCCTTGCCAAGTAAGCCTTCCTTGCATGCATTATCCTCACCTGCTCTAAATCAGCATTGGTTTGGATATTTTTCTCCTTTTAGTTGTTAAATAGTTTTCTCATCAAAGAGTGTACAAATAAACATAATGCCAGGAAAAATTTTCAGGGATCCCGGCCTGGCCATACCTTCCTATGTATCTGAGGTCAGACAAAACTTTAGAGGATCCCCAGCCCTGAGCACAATGCCCTCTGGGCAGGAGCTTCTCTAAGAGCTGTTCTCTCCATGTTCTGTTTTGCAGTGCACTGCTGGAACAAAATGATGCCCTTGCACAGAAGGTTATGTACTTGTTAGTCCCCTTTCTTAACCGAGGGGATGACAAACATAAACTCACAGCTGCAGGCTTTTTCGTGGAGGTAAGGCCTCTTCTTTGAAAGTTGTATTCAGGAAGTTTGCAGAGCATCACTTCTTACCTTCCTAGGTTCCAGCCAACTTGCTGTTAGATGGGGATGCATTTCTGACATGAGATAGAAATAGTCAAACCTGGCCTTCCCTGGTGCCGCAGTGGGTTAAACACAGCACTCTGAAGCAATCCACAGCCACTGCAGCATGAGTTCAATTCCCAGCCAGGGAGGTGACCCACATGGTGCAGCAGACCTCTTCTAACCTGCCTGCTGCTTCTAACCTGCCACTGCTCAACAGTGTATTTTGGTAGATCTGCCTGTTCTGCTCCCCACTTTGTCACTTGTGAATCTTCTCATCCCCCGCCCTTTGTCCTATACTCCAGTTCTTGTATGCATAGATAAATCTTAAAAAAAAGAAATAGTCAAGCCTATTGAATTGTTTCTCTCCACATAGTCATTCTTTGTTCTTCGTGTACCTCCAGTGTAAGCATCACCCTGTAGTGTATGTGCTATATAGTAGAGATTTCAAAGGAAAGTAAATATTTTGGAATTGGTGAGAAGGTGGCTTCTCTCATGAAAAAGGATTTAAATGCAACTTGCTTGGTTTCTTTCTTTGTTCTTTCAGCTTCTCCAGAGTCCTGTGGCTAGTAGACTGCCCAGCAGATACTCTGTTGCCCGCTTGAAAGACTGGCTACATCATGGAAATACTGTTTTTAAAGTGCTTGCCCTGAGAGGACTGCATTACCTTATAAAACACCAGGAGATGGTAGGAGAAATTCTTAAGCTCTGATTCTTAAGTCACAAATAAAATACACCCTGAGAAGATATTTCTGATGTCAGCTGAGGAGGAAAATTGGGTAGTAGGGAGTAGGTGAGAATATATCCTTTTGTATCATTTGAAAATTCTACCTGGAAATATGCAAGTACTGATTAACATTTAATGAAATTAAAATAAAGAAAAAATCTAATTCACCTATACTCATAATATCCTAACTCTGTAATTTGTGTTGGAAGTCCCCTCGTTAGTCAACCTGGGTGACAGTCACTGACCCTGCTGTGCGGGAGCAAATTGTACAGGCCGTTGTGTCTACTCTGGAGATGCCTTTCATCTTAGAGATCACTGATTTTCATGTAGGAAGCTCATTTCCCATAGACCTAGCTAGAAGTGAGGCTGTCAGAAGAACTTCAGATTTATCACCCAAGTTCTGTTTCATTTCAAAATATATTTATATATCTGCAACAAAACCCTGAGCTGCTTTTGGAGGGTTTTGAGAAGAGCAGAATCCTGTTCAATTTCTTCTTGAATTCCTACAAAGGAATCTCTTTGGATAATTCCCACGTTGGGGAACTCACCATGAGCTGAGCTGGCCATGTCTCACTTTCTCTCATTGTTGGGAGAGCAATTCCTTACACTGAGCCCGAGCCCATCTCCTGGGGCTGGCCCCTCTCTGCTCTGTGAGGCAGCTCACAACCTTCCTCTTCCGTTTATATATTATTAGCCCTGCCAGTACTGAGGGCAGTCATACCCTCTCTATGCCCCTGTTCTTGACTGCCAGCATGACTAAAAATTCAACATCAGGTGCTAAGCAAAGAAAGGTGGGGCTCCCTACTCCAGATAGAGTACTTTTAGGTGCGGTGATGATGAGTTCCCTTTGGGCACACAGAGGGAAGACATCAAGAACCTGTTGCCGAGCATCTTAGACCTCTTGCATGAAACCAATGAGAAGATTGTCTTGTTAGCCATCCAGATATTGCTGCAATTCGTCAGCACAATGGATTTCACCACCCTGACTGACATGATGAGGACTCTCTTCTCCTTATTTGGTGATGTAAGGCCCTGAGAGAGGAGACATTTTTCTAGGGCAGAGTAATTGGCATTAACAGCAAGTAAAAGTTGTAGTCGTAATAAGTGTTGTTATATTTGATATGGTACCTTTTACATTCAGAGCGCTTTTAAGACCCTTCTAGGTAACCAGTGATGTTGGTAGGGCTGGTGTTATTGCCATATTTCAGATAAAAGACAATAACAGAAAAACTGAGAACTTCCCTGGTGGCACAAGGGGTTAAGTTTCAGCACTATGAACCTATTGGCAGCCACTACAGCACTGAGTTCGATCCCCGGCCAGGGAACTGACCCACATGGTGCAGCAGACCTCTCCTGTCTTGCCCACTGCTCCCCTCAGCAATGTATTTCAGTAGACCCACCTGCTCTGCTCCCCTTCTGTCTCTGGTGACCCTCTCTCTCTCTTTCTCTCCCCTCCCCCCCCACACACACCATCTCTGGCCTATACTCCAACTCTTACGTGCATAAGTAAGTAAAATAATTCTTTAAAAAAAAAAAAAAAGACATAGAGACTTGCCAGGGTACAATCTGGCTTCATGAGATGGGGAAAGGGTATGTCTAGAAGAAAGCATTGTCTTTCCTTTCAAGGAACAATCATAATTAGGTCAAAATGGTGAACTGTACATGTACCTCTCCCAAATCCCAAAGATTTTTCAAAAATGTATGGAACACAATGAACCACATCCTTGAAAGGGTCAAACTTGCCAAGACTGGGAAGTTTGAATTTCTGTAAACCAGCTGGTGTGGATGGTTATACCCCCATTAGGCAAGAGCTGTGGTCATTACAAGTGGAGCTGTGCCCACCTCTCATTTGTAGAGTGGGAGGATACCACAGAATGCCCAAGCAGCAGGTCTTACTGTCTCCACATTGTTTTGGTGTCTTTCCCTCAACATCCTGTTGCTGATAGTGTCATGTGAAGACTAGTGTTTTTTCCCACCCAGAGCTCATATCAAGCATAAACATTTTCAGTAACTAGCTTCCTCTGGATACTCTCCTCATAGGTGAGACCTGATGTCCATCGTTTCTCCATGACCCTCTTTGGAGCTTCCATAAAGTCTGTGAAATACACAGATAAGAAGGGTGCAGAGAACCAAGTCCTGAACAGCTTAGTCCCACTATTGCTGTATTCTCAAGATGAAAATGATACTATAGCTGAGGTAATGTCTACTGTCGCTTGCTGTCAGTCTGAAAACCTTCTAATCCAATGCCAACTCTGCACATGCGTGTTCATATCTTTGATGGCAGGGAACTCTGTGACACCATCTTTATTCCCCACTTTCTCTTGCAGTCTTCATTTCAGTTATCTCTCTTGAATGAGTTGCACATAAAATCTTACTCCTTGTTGAGTTATTTAGCAAATGACTGCTCTTTGTGAGTAAGAACAATGTATTTTACCTTTTTGTAACTCCACCCCAATAATCAGCCTAATAGCTCTACATACAATATTCATCTCAACAAACTTTGTTGATGACAGTGTTAATCTTCTACAATCTATTTTCTTTCATAAAAGGTCTTTCTTAAAAGACCTTATGGCCTTAAGATTAAGGTGGGTCCTGACACCTTGCTACAGAGAAAGTGTTATGGCCTTGTTGCCATAAATATAAAATATTTCAGGCTCCAATAAAGTATTGAGCAGAACTTCCCATCCAAGTGATGGCAAAGTTTGCTCTGTGCCTAGAGGGTTACAGATGTGTGGAGGTGTTGACACCACTGCCTCTGTCAGCCCGTGACGTCAGTCCAGTGCAGAGCAGTTAAGACCATGGACTGAGCTCTAGTTCATTTATTTTCACTGCTATATAGAATCCCATCATGTGAATATTCTATAATGTATCAACTTTTCCTATTTCTAGATAGTTAGATTGTTTTCAAGTTTTTCATTATTACATTGCAGCTACAGATATTCTAATTACATATTTCCTGTGTATGTGTGTAAGAGTTTAAGGGCATAAATCCAGAACTGAAATATCTGTCTGTAGACCATGGGGTCTTGGGAACTCCTGCCTAAGTCTCTGGTCTGAGTATAACTCCCACATACACAATGGTTTTGTGGGTCCACATCAGGGACTGATTGGGGATGCTGAAGAAGGGCAGGACTCGGGCCCCTTTCTCTCCCTTTTCTTGCTTCAACCAGGATTATTCTGAGTTTATCAGCTTTTCATATTGGATTTTAGTTCCAGTTTTATTTCAAGAAAGGTTACCCCAGCTAAGAAATGTTTGAAATGCTATATTCATAGGTGTTCCCTGTGTTCCATATGTTCCTTTTCACAGGAGAGCAGGCAAGTCCTGACTATATGTGCCCAGTTCCTGAAGTGGAAGCTACCACAGGAAGTGTTCTGCAAAGACCCCTGGTACATCAAACCTGATGAAGTTGGAATAGTCTGCACGTTCTTTGTATGTGGGCAATAACGATCTCATGATTTAACTCTTTAATAAGCTGACATACTGATTTTTTTCATACAAGGATTTTAATAGAGGAGCATAACATAAAGGAAACATTTCCCATCTCTTTTTACATCAGTGGTTGATATCTGTGAACTGTTTTGTACTGTAAAGCTATTTTTCTACATTTTTTTCCAAGTCATAAGTTCACTTTCTATTATAACTTTTCCTCATAAAAAAAAAAAAAAGACTGGTGAACTCTTGGATTCTGGAGGCCCTAACCTGAGTCAGAGTTTCAGAGTCAGGCTGATAGTACATGCTCAAAAATTACTTATGACTCAGTTGAAATGGGATTTTGTATTGCCTTCACAATGAGCTCTGATCCTTCTGTCTGGCCTTTTGGGTGGTTTTTCCCTCCTTCAGACCATGATCAGGGAACCCAAGCAAGGGCTGCCATGCTGTTGTAAGCTATTACAGCATGATGGCAGCATGCCAGTGCCTCTGCCAAGACTTAGAGGCATCCTTTCTCTTTAAAATTTAACAAGGGTACTGTGGCCAACCTCAGAGCCAGGTTTGAGCCAGGGCAGTTTCAGGAAGTCCTAGGAGGTTTTCTAGACAACTGACTCTAGAACTACTGGACTCCTACTCTCCTAGGCCTAGGACTCTCCTGGCCCCTAGGACTGACTATCCTCAGGGATCTTCCATCTGAGTGGCCTGTTTCAGACCCAACATGGGTTCCTCTAGTAGGCTAGGAAGCCCCATGTATCAGGCTTCCCAGTGGGGATTATCTTTCAAACCTCTAACCAAACTAATACACTTATGACAGTATTGAAGGGAAAGTCAGTGCTCTCAGTGGGTAAGACTACAGATTGTCCATGTTGAGTCATAAATTCTATGAGAGCAAATTCCTGTTCATCTATCTCTGAAGTGTCTATCCTTGTTAACAGATCACTCAGAGATACATTCATTTATCCAATAAACATAATATCCAGTGTGCACCAGACCATGGAGAACCCAAAACATGTGTAGGATTAAAACTTCCTCGGGAGGGCTTGCAAGCCAGGAAGGGAAATAAAACCTCTGTGGAAAATTAAGTAAAGGGGCCTCCTAGTGGCACAGGGGTTTAAAGCACAGCATTATGAAGCTATCTGCAGCCACTGCAGTATGAATTCAATCCCCGGCCACGGGGCTGACCCACATGGTTCAACACACTTCTCCTGTCTCACCCACTGCTCCTCTCAGCAATTTGTTTCAGTCAATCTGCCTATTCTGTTCCCCACTTTGTCTGTGGTGAATCCTCTCACCTTTCACACCTCTGGCCTGTACCCCAGTTCTTGTATGCATAAATAAATGAATCTTTAAAAAAAAAGAAAAGAAAATTAAATAGAAACTCAAGAAATATCAACAGAATGCTCAGAGCAGGGTTAGTTCAGGCAGGCAGGAGCTGTCAGGGAAAAATTCATAGGTAGGCAGAGCTCACAGAGCAGGAAAAGTGTATCTTTCATATACAGGGAAGTGAAGACAGATTTGAAGGTACTCCATGCACAACGTGCAGCACGAGTATGTGTGAAGCATGTGTGCTCAGGATTGAGCTCTGTCAGGGGGCTTATTGTTGTGGCATAATATTCACTGAGCAACTATAGTTACCTTAAACCCTGCACTCTATATGTATTTCTAACATAGATCCTGGCTCTGGGAACTATGATGAGACTGATAAAAATAGTGCTATGTTTCACTCTTTTTTTCCCCACTTAGGGAAAGAAATGCCAGGGGAAAGTTAACATCCTAGCTCAAACATTGATGTTTTCCAAGAATACAAGACTCCCCATCAGAAGAACAGCAGTCTTGTTTGTAGGTACAGAGAAAATCCTGTCATTCCTACAGTTGCTTTTATCCTGTACGTTACAGGATATTCAACAAATGGTGTTGCTGAGTATCCCCTTCTTTATGACGATGACCTTGAAATTACTTCTTTGAAGAAAGGAGTTATGTTATCTGTAGCAAACAATTAGGTGCTTGGAAATGGGGTTTTTGGAATTGGTCTAATCATCAAAAGGCAGATTCTGCCAGCTAAACCCAGATCACAGATTTATTGACTTTATCCTGCATCTAGGGCTCTTGTCAAAATACATGGATCACAGTGAACTCAGGATGAAGGGTACTGACTGGATAGAGAATGGTAAGTGAGGACATCACTAGGGCTGGGGTGCCCCATATTTTGGACGGTCTCTAAGACAATGATGGGCAGACTCTGTGGCAGAGCTGAGACTCTGAGAACCAGAAAATCTGACTTTCGCATTAAGAAAGCTCTTGGAAACTTCAACTGAATAATAGCCTCATCCCAGTGCAATTCTCCCTTTAGTAAAGCACACGACCCTGTCTGTATGAAAACAGGCTTAGCATGTTGAGGGCCATAGGGGCAATTCCTGGACTTTCTGAGGAAATACGACGTTACCTAAATACGTTCTTAATAATGCTGACACCTTACAAGTATCACAGGTAGCACTGTTTTCTGTGTTTGTCCTGTGAGGTAGTAGAATTTGATAATAGAGATGTTTTATAGTTGTATAAGCCAATATCATACAAATGGTTTTTTTGAACTGTCATTGAGTGAAAATATTCTGTAGTTATACTTTGAGGTGTGGCATTCAAAGAATTATGCCCACTGAAGAAGTAGAAATTATCAAATATGTATATAAGATTATATATACATATATACATAAACTAGGATAACATGAAATTGCCTTTCTTTGGAACAACAACAAAAAAAAAATCAGTAACTTTATGTGTTTCAACCTGTTGGAATAATGCCAACCTCTTCCTTCCCAGCAGTGGCTTATCCATCTTAAAAATAGGTAAAATAGGGCCTCCTTGGTGGTGCAGGGCTTTCGTGTCAGCCACTGCAGAATGTATTTAATCCGCAGCCAGGGAGCTGACCCATGTGGCACACTCTCCTCTATGTATTCTGTAGAACATGTAGACAGATTATAATGCAAGAACAGAAAGACTAACAACTAGTGATGATTCCATTTTGGAAATAACATGATAAAAGCTAAAATGTTTCTTAAAAAATTTGAAGTTCTAATTTATGAAAAGGCTTTGAACATTTTTGAGACCTTGGAGAATTAAAAATAAAAAAGGGTGTCCATTCTAAGTATCATTAAAAAAACAGATCGAGGGCCCTCCCTGGTGGTGCAGTGGGTTAAAGCACAGCACTAAGAAGCTAAAGCCACTTCTGTAGGAGTTCGATTCCCACCTGCCCCGGAGGTGACCACATTGGCACGGCAGACCCCACCTGACCCACCCGCTGCTCCCCTCAGCAGTGTACTTCGTCGATCTGCCTGTTCTTCTCCCCACTCTGTCCCTGGTGAATCCTCTCACCCTCCACATCTCTGGCCTGCACCCCAGTTCTGTATGAATAAATAAATAAATCTTAAAAAAAAAAAAAAAGACAGATCTATTTATTTAGATAAAAAATTTTTAAAATCATTGGGGCCTCCCTGGTGGTACAAGGGGTTAAGTCTCAGCACTGTGAAGCTACCAGCAGCCACTGCAGCACAAGTTCGATCCCAGGCCAGGAAGCTGACCCACATGGCACCCTCCTGTCTTGCCCACTGCTCTCCTCAGCAGTGTATTTCAGTCTACCTGTTCTGCTCCCCACTCTGTTTCTGCTGAATCCTCTCACCCCCCACCCCCACCTCTGGCCTACACCCCAGCTCTTTTATGCATAAATAAAAAAATAAGACAAACAATTATTAGATAATATGTATAATATGGTTCCCTTTGGACAAAAATAAAAATATACATGTGTATATAAATGAATTAAAAACAGGCCAGACAAATACCAAATAATCCTCTGTAGTAGGATTATAGTGCTTATTATGTATTGTCCTAACTTTCTACACAATGAACATGTATTTCTTTTGCAATAAGAAAACAGAAACTAAGTATTTGAAAGAACAGTTTAAAGGCAATGATGATTTGAGAGTAATCTCTAGAACTAACACAGAAACTTAGAAGTTAGCAGTATTAAACATGACCCAACAGGTAATTTGACTTTATGTACCATAGTGAGGAATATGATTACTGTAAAGGAGTAAAATATTTGGAAACTCAGGAGTGTGTTTTTTAGATCAAATTGGAATTGACCTATACAAGTACAAGCTTAGCAAAGGCTTGGAAAAGTTAGCCCCTTAGATCTCTTTTGCTGTAGGTTGTTGGCTGTTTAGCCCCTGGCCTGGAGATCATCTCCATAGATTTTTTTACCTCCAACCTGAATTTTCTTTCCCCTTAGAGCTGAAAGATCTGCTACGAGACCCTGAGCCCTCTCTGCGTATCATTGCTTCCCAGGCTCTATTCCGAATCCAGAAGGTGCGGACTGATCCGAGTCCCGTGCCGTCGGTCTGTTGGCTGAGGAAGCTCATGGGCTGTCTTCCTACCTAGAGATGCAAGGCAAGCAGCGTCAGGTAAAAACGAATTCTTTTGAAACCACAGCAGCAGTTGGTGCCGCCCAGCTTCCCATTTAATTACCTCAGAACATTGGAGGAGTTAGAATATATAAGTCGGGCAGCTCTTGCTTTCAGTGTGCAGAAATAGTGAAAATGTAGTAAATTTCTGAGGCATGCCAGAGTGTCCATATTCTTATCTTTATAAAACAGCTCCACTTCTGTATTCTAAATAAATGTTAATACTGCAATGTGAGTATGTTGGTCTTTTTGTAAAGGCTCACTCTGTGTATCAGAAGCTCTAAGAACTAAGAAACAAACTATTTTTATAGTTTGGAATTACTGATTTATTTTTATAAATTCTTTATAACCTTTCACCTTCCTTTTCCATTTCCCTTAAAAATTGCCCTCCTGCTCGCCTGGGCCTTTGCAGCTGAGGTTCCCCTACTCGCCAGCCCTCTCCCTTTCCAGGGCAGCCACGGCAGCTGTCCTCCCAGGGCTGCTGGCCTGTGACTGTACAGGCTACTCTTTTAACAGACTTGTCCCTTCCAGGGACAGCTCTTTCTGCTTGTTTGCATCTGTGCAAGTGGCCTTTACACTTCTCTCCTTTTTATAACAAACCTGCCCTTTTGGATATTAAAAAAAAAAATCTTAAAGCAAGAAAAAAATGTCTGAAGTGGTGTAATGCTAAATCTCTCCCATATATGCAAGGTTTCCCTCTCTTACAACCCTCAGATCCTCACATGGGTCTATTATTTGTTGAGTACCCACTATGTGCTTTAAACATGGAAGGAGAAAATGATCTCAGAAGCAGTAATTTCCTAAGGAAGAGACTAGTTTCTGTTGTAAAGTGTTAATGAGCTGCACATGGCACGGTAGGAAACCCCCAGTGACACAATAGATTAATTAGAAATAGTCACTGTGGCTCCATTTCTCAAGCTTTTGTTTGGTTAAAGAACATAGTAGACAGCTAGAAAAGAGCTATCTGGGGCCACAGAAAGGCCTCTTGGAGGCAGTGTAGAGAATACCATTGTAAGTAAGAGTATAAATCCTTACCTCTGCATCTCCCCTACTCCAACTTTCAACCCCATCCTGCTAACAAAAAAGAACAAATGGAGGAACAAGTTTCTCCATGATTCATGATAAATTGGATTTTTTTTAAAGAGGTGACAGCATGTCAGGTGCAGCTTTAAGAAGATCCCTGCCCAAGAGAGATTGTCATATTTGAGACTAGATGTATGTCAAGGGCCCTGAACAGAGCTTATAATACACCTTGAGGATGGCCACCAGATGCTAAACTTCAGTGCAGATTGTTATTTTCTGAGTAATACCACCAGTAGGGACTAGAATAGTAAGCACAACAATACTTACTCTCTTTTTAATTATGCTTTATTGTGTTACAATTCACAGAGAAAAGCATCCTTTAAGAGAGAGGACTGATTGCACTTTATTGAACTACCTCGAGGACTGAGGTAGTCCTGGGAAGGACTTAAGGAGTATTGAAAATCTGTTTATTCCAGATATCTCCATTTCTTTTATGCAAGATTATCCTCAGAGACAGGTCTGTATTTCAGGGATTTTAAAAGTATATAAAATTTTGGACATTTAGTTTTGTTATATGGAAATAAAAGTTCAATGTAATTGAATAGCATATTGATTTTATTTTCACCATATACTATTAAAGTGTTTTGCTCTTATATAGATTACATATGATTATTTACAATAATATATATATATGTAAGTGTATAATATCCCAGCTGTGTATTTTAGATTCTCACTTCTTTTTACTTTCAGGATTGCTTTTCCTTCTTATACTAACTATTTTGTAAGGAATTATTTTTTTTCCTCTTACTAAAAGACTAAATTATCATGTAAATAAAGAATGAGATTGGGGAATCTCTCAGGTAACAGCGTGACAAGGCAACAACTTTGACAAATAACACTGTGCTAGGTAAGATTGTAAAATAAGCCAAATCTCTCTGTTTCTTCCAACTCCCCCCACCTCTTCCTTCTCCCAGGTTCTTGGTTCATTCCTTTTCCTCTCCCTCAGGAAGGGATCTGTTGAACTCACTGTTAGTGTGTTTAATGCAAGACATAATGAGGTAAACTAACTCTTCCAGAGTTTTTTGCTTTTTAACAAGGTGTAGAATGCTGAGGACAAAACATGAAAGTCTAAGCTTTACTAAGCAGGATGAAGACAAGAAGTACTTGGAAATGGGCTTGGAGACTGGGGAATAGAGATTTTCCTGCCATCTTCCAAACCATACCATAAAAGCAGCTGCTTTCCCCAACTCTTTCAGAAACCTCCTCAGAACACACAGAGGAAAAGGATGAGAAAGGATAATTAACAACGTCCTCCTGTTAGGTTCTCCCATGAACGAGACTTGACAATATGGAAGAGATATCAAACATAAGGTCCAAGCTTCCTGGCCCCTAGTACATAGGTTTTCAGTGAAATCTTACCCAGACCACTGTAGAAGCCCACTGTGAGGGTAACGAATCTGTTTCCTAATTCTTTTTTTTAGATTTTTTTTATGCATACAAAACAGGCCAGAGGAGCAGGGGCAGTGAGAGGATTCACCAGAGGCAGAGCAGGGAACAGAACAGGCAGATCTACGAAGTACACTGCTGAGGGGAGCAGCAGGCCAGTCAGGAGAGATCTGCCATGCCATGTGGGTCAGCTCCCTGGCCTGAGGATAAAACTCATAGTGAAGCAGCTGCGGGTAGCTTCACAGTAATGTACTTCAACCTGTTGCACCACCAGGAGCGCCCTCCTGATTCTTTTAAAAGAAGTGACAGGCTGCATATGCCATGTGTTAATACACCTCCTAAACCTTTGTCTTTCCGTCAAATCAAGCCTACTAAATTCTGCTGACTTGTGTATTAGTTGATCTGGGGAAAAGCACTTCTTTGGTGGAAAGAAGGGCAGAACATTAAAAAGGAAAAAATTGTTTTTGTTTTTTAAAGATTTATTTATTTATGCACACAGAACTGGAGTACAGGCCAGAGGTGCAGGGATGATGAGAGCATTCATCAGAGACAGAGTGGGGAGCAGAACAGGCAGATCGATAAGTACACTGCTGAGGGGAGCAGTGGGCCGACAGGAGAGGTCTGCTGCACCATGTCACCTGTGGGGTGGGGAACAAACTCGTAATGAAGTGGCTGCAGCCAGATTGCAGTGCTGCATCCTACCTCTTGGCCACCAAGGAGGGCCCAAGAGGTAAAAATTTGTAAGGAATTCAAGTGTTTTGACCTTAAAACTAAAGAAATTTTCCAAGAAAGATCTCAAGTCTTTGCATCTGTCTTTGTGATTTCTAAGAATTTTTTTCTTGTTATTACTATTCTGCCTAGATTATCATTTCAGTTCAAGACTTTATAGAAATATAAAACCTGGCCAACCAATCCTAATGCATTTTTTAGTAATTTTATATGAAAAAAATTGTTCAAATGGATTTAAAAAAACATTTTAAAGATTTATTTATACATACAGAACTGGGGTGCAGACCAGAGGTGAAGAGGCTGTGAGAGGAATCACTAGAGACAGAGTGGCGAGCAGAATAGGCAGAGTAATGAAGTACACTGCTGAGGGGAGCAGGGGGTGAGACAGGAGAGGTCTGCCCAGGAGAGGTCTGCCCAGGAGAGGTCTGCCCAGGAGAGGTCTGCCGTGCCATGTGGATCACCTCCGGGGCAGGGGATGGAACTTTCACTGAAGCTTTTGGTGCCAGTTTGCAGTGCTGCGCTCCAACCCGCTGCACCACCAGGGAGGGTCTAAAAGAGCTTTTTAAGGTATTTGAAATATTAATAATCTAATATGACTCAGACCTCATCATCGCAAGAGTAATAAAACCATGAAATAGATTAGTTAAGTGGCCTTTTCTTGAAACAAGCTCAGTAAGTGACTGAGTCTGAAAATCTCGTCTCTACATCTGATTCCTTATGTAACCCTGTACCTCAACACTTTCTTTTTAATCAGAACATTAAATCAAGAAGGGTTTACTTGAAGTTAAAATACAGTATTTAAAAAGAGAAGTGTTCTGAGAACATTTTTTTCTTGATTTATTATAGATTTTTAAAGTAGCATGCACATATATATGCTACATATATATATATAATATATGTTTACTGAAAATATCCAGTATTATCAGTTTCTTGTATCTTCTCTTCAATACGTAATTATGCATTTATGAGCAAGTATGTATAATGTACGCTTCCCTATCTTTATTCCTCTCTCACCACTATTGAAATTCCTTTGTTTTTAGGAAATTATTCCCAATTTCTTCCAAGATATTTCATGCAGATGCATCTATATAATTGATATATTTGCTCTAAATTGACCCTTCCTAATCTGAATTATTCTATTTAAATCCATGCCTTTAAGAATTTATTATATGGGGGCTGCCCCTCCTTGGTGGTGCAGTGGGTTGGAGCGCTGTACTGCAAAGCCAAGCCAAGCCAAGCTAAGCTGTGCCCACTTCAGTGAGACTTCTATCCCTGCCCAGAGGTGACCACACATGGCGCAGCAGACCTCTCCTGTCTTGCCGGCTTCTCCCCCCTCAGCGATGTGTTTTGTCAATCTGCCTGTACTGCTCCCCCACTCTGTTTCTGGTGGGCCCTTCACTGCCCTGCACCTCTGGCCTGTACCCCATTTCTGTATATATAAATAAAATCTTTAAGAAATATATTTTTAAAAATTGACTATATGAACTTAAATGATGAGCTTCAAAATGTGGAAATCAGGTAGGTTAGAGTTGGTTGGAAATTGCCAATTATTAAATACAATAAATTACTATTTTTATTTACAATTTTTACTTTATTTCCCTTGCATTAATTGTCTAATTTAGTTTTTATTGTTACTGGCAGTTTATGTCTGAGAAATTCACCTCAGAGAAGGAAAAGAACTTTCCAGAGCACAAAATCAGATAGAAGCAGTGCAAGGATTTAACTCTTAGTTTTTGGATTTCAGTCCACGGTACATTCTTTAGTAGGTAACTGTCTTGGCTGTTTCAAAGAAGGTAAAACACTGATAAGAGTTTCTAAATTGAATGAGGAAGTTGAAATGCAGGACAAATCAATAGGATTATCTGATGTCACCATCTTCACGTATGACATACAGCCTTCCTTTATGATTTGACTTTCCCACCTACACCTCCTGCTTAATGGCTAGTATCTGAGATGGTTCCTAACTAATAATAGCTATTTTCCTCAGATTACCTGGGATTACAGGGGGCAGGATTAATCCAAGTTCGTATGGAATCAGGAAAAGAGCAACAATCCTAAATTTCGTTCCTAGATAAATGTCTCAGGTCAGTCTCTTAGAAGAAAATGTAAAGGAAAATACTATTCCAAATAGTTTATGACCAAATTTGAGTTCCCTGGGCATAGATTTTGATGGATAAAGGCTTCAGATTTAAAATATCTCTTTACTTAGGCGTTTCAGTTTCTCTTATTTGAAGTGTAAAGGTACCAAAATCCCTTAATTGTCCTTGTGAGTAGGGCCGGGGCTACTTTCCTTGCCAGGACCTGGCATTTTCCTTTCAGGAACAAGATGAGTAAGAATGATGGTAAGTTCCTTCCCCTCCTCCACAACTACCAACTGCTTTTTTTTTGATAGCTAGAAGATTAGGCCAGTAATTTTCCCTCAGAAGAGCAAATAAAGACCTAATATGCCTAGGGCATAATAAAATTGGAGGTTTTTGTAAAGAATTTCAAAATGAATTGTCATGGGAAAAATAATCAAAACCTGATACTTTCTTACACTTATTTTGTGGTTTAGAATTATATTTTGAATTATATTTGGGAGCATTTGCACAATCTTTTTAACTTGGGGCTGCTAATGAGGTCTGGTACATGCTCTGGGAAACACAACAGGCTGAGGAGATCACCACAAATGGCAGCAAAATAGAAACAGTCTTCAGAATGTATCTGGATCAGAAATGAAGGACAGTAAAACTATTTTGCTACAATGCATTTTCTATTCAAAAAAGCACAGTTTAGTGTTAAATGGAAATGTGACTGGATATGTAAGGAAAAATAAAAACCAACATAAACCCTGATAAGATGTCTGGAGAAGAGCTTCAGGGTCAGTGAACACATGAAGACTTAGGGGACAAAATTTGGTCTGGAGTGGGCATGGGAGTGCCTCTCCTTTCTCCCATACCTTCTCCACTACCTCTCTCCCATATGGGTGTTGAGTAATATCCTGGTGTTGTCATATCCTTTGTGGTTTTTTTTTTTTAAAGATGTATTTATGCATATAAGAGCTGGGGTGTAGGTCGGAGGATTCACCAGAGACATAAGCAGGAGCAGAACAGGCAGATCTACTGAAATACACTGCTGAGGAGAGCAGTGGGGAGACAGGAGAGGTCTGCTGTGCCATGTGAGTCACCTCACCAGGGATCAAACTCATGCTGCAATGGCTCTGACAGTGTCACAGTACAGAGACTTAGTAACCTTTGTAATAAATTAATGACCTAGTGAATAAACAGGTTTCCTGAGTTGTGTGTGTCACTATTGCAAATTAATTGAAACCAAGTTTGGTTGTACTAATTTTTTTTTTTAAGATTTGTTTTTTCATACAGAACTGGGAGGTACAGGCCAGAGGTGCAGGGGCCGTGAGAGGATTCACCAGAGACAGAGCGGGGAGAAGAACAGGCAGATCTACAGACTACTCTGCTGAGGGGAGCAGCGGGCAGGTCGGGAAAGTTCTGCCACGCCATGTGGGTCACCTCCAGGGCGGGCGGGGATGGAACTCATGCTGAAGTGGCTTTAGCTTCTTAGTGCTGTGCTTTAACCCACTGCGCCACCAGGGAGGGCCCTGGTTGTACTAATTTTTTCCAAAAAAATTTTACCGAACTTGTTACTATATTGACTGACCAGTCTCATTTTGACTCTGATTTGCAGGGAGTTCTGTGGAAGCTGATATTACAGCTTTATACTACACCTTGGAAATTTTTTGCCTTTGTCATTTTCCTTTGGAGAATTATCCTTGTTCTAAATCCTCGAGTATATAGTTTATTTATAACAAATAACCAAATTCACAAATTTATTAACAAAAAATAAATCCACTTGGGCACAGATTAAAAATCTTCAGATAATGGGGGGCCCTCCCTGTTGGCGCAGCGGGTTAAAGCACTGCACTGAGAAACTAAAGCCACTTCCGCATGAGTTCGATCCCCGCCTGCCCCGGAGGTGACCACATGGCGTGGCAGACCTCTCCTGACCCGCCTGCTGCTCCCCTCAGCAGTGTACTTCGTCGATCTGCCTGTTCTGCTTCCCGCTCTGTCTCTAGTGAATCCTCTCACCCTCCGCATCTCTGGCCTGTACCCCAGTTCTGTACGAATAAATAAATAAATCTTAAAAAAAAACTTTAAAAAAATCTTCAAATAATGAAGAGCCAAAATAAGCTATCTTGTTAAGGGGAAGGATGTCCTAAAGGAACTCTGCAGTTTGGTGGACTCCACCCCCTACTCCAGTGATTAGAAACTCCCAGCAGTACCAAGGAGAGAACTGTGAAGACCCAAGGGCAGAGTAAAGCAGGTATTCTGGGACTTCAGGGGGAAATAGGGAACAATTTTCAAAGGCTGGGTTCTCGGGCAACAGCTCTCTCACTCTGGGGCAACGGCTGTCTCAGAGGGTGTGACTGGGGGCTATCAGTTTGTTACTAGAGTTCAAAGTCAGCTGAGCTGGTAAGATACTCTAGTTACTTTGTAGCTCACTCTTTCTCTTTCCCTAGGTTATTCCTTTTCCCTTCTCCTCTTAGTAAATAAACCCATTACCCTTTTTGTGTGTGCCTGCAGTACAATTAAATTTTAAGCCTGTGTGTGAGGACCCACAGACAGACAGCCCAGTTCACACTGGATTACCTCTGATCAAGCACTTACATTTAAGGATAACATTAAAAACTTTTCAATTGGCAATGGAATATTTGAGCAACATCCTTCAAAATACAATTTCAGAGACTACAATGTCAGAAATGAGGTCTTGTCACAGGAGTCAAATGCTGAATTTGAATGTTACGTAAATAATTGTTGTACTGTTTTGTTGCAGGAATGACAAGAATAAAGTCTGAACATACTCAGAGGTAAGAGACTTGAAGGGCCCATAAGCATAAGCTGGAAAGGAAACTGGGATAAGACTGATACATTGAGGTCTGTGAAAGCAACCATAGAAACGGAATTCAAAATTCTAAATAATGTAGACATTCTTGGTGAATTCTAACAGTAAGGAAAATGGCAACAGAGGAGAAGCTTAAAAAGAAGCATACAAAGGTGGACAAGAAGACAAGAGTGTTAGGAGAGCAAAAGTTTACTTAGAGACCAGTACTCTGAGGAGGTGGCTGGAATACTGTCTCTAGAAACCATCTCCAGATTAAGAAATGGAATGATGATATATGTGAGAAGCCTTGAGTCATTGACTAGCTTGGCAACTTGACATTTTCAAGGTTCCAAAACAAAGCAGTGAGGTTGTACCTTAAATACCTGGGAGTGAAACTGTTACAGGGTAGCCCAGAGTGAAACTGGGCTGCCTGTCTGTGGGTCCTCACCCTGTGCTTAAAATGTAATTTTCTGCAGACACACACAAAAGGGTAATGGGTTTATTTACAAAACAGGGAAAGGAAAAGGAACAACTCAGGGAAAGAGAGAGGGATACAAAGTAACTGGAATATCTTACCAGCTTGGCTAACTTGGAACTCTAGTCACAAACTAACTGCTAGCCTCCAGTCACACAGTGAGAGCCAGTCTGAAACTGACCACCATGACCAGAAAAGCGAGCCCAGCTGCAGGAATGCAGAGGCAGAGATCAGGACATGTTTCTGTGTCAAAGGCTAGAGTTCTGACATCCCAATAGATAACCGGTGCAAACTGGCGCCCTAAACTAGGAGCCTGCAGAAACAGGCTAAAACAGTATAAAAGACAGTCTCAAATCCCTCTTAGGGCGCATATTTCTCCTGTGTCATCCACTGCTTCCCTTAGCAGTGTATTTCAATAAATCCACCTGTTCTCCGCTGTGCTAAGGTGGATTCTTTCACCCCTTCCCCCTCTTGCCCCCCCCCCGCCCCCGTCTCCCTACAACCCCTAACATCCTTCAAGTCATTCATTCAACTGATCACTCATTGAGTTTCTGAAGATGTGGTGTCCAACGCCTCCCAGGGAGTCACTTTTTTCTGTTCTTTTCTGCATCTCAAAACTCAAGGAACAGATCTCAGGCTGTATTTGGCACACGTTGCAGTGACAAACCCGGGGCTCACAGGCTGGAGAGGTCGAATAGACTTCTCACTAAAATGAAGGAAACCACCTGTCAAATGGCAGGAAAACAACCCAAAAAACGAACAGAGGACTGAGCCGCAGGCTGCGAGACGCGTCTGAACTATAACTCCCAGAAGACTCCGCGCAGCATGAGAATCACTCCGCTGACACTATTTGTTCGGACCCTCTGACCACCGCTGTCCGCCAAGGGCCAAGCCCCGATTTTTCTTTATGACCCGAGATCTATTTTCCCTCGTTTCCGCAGAAGGACGGTTGGCGGCTCAGGAGGAGGAGTGGACTTTTTTGAAGAGTAACGCGGAGGCAGACGGTCGCAAAAAAAAGTGACTGCGAAACTGCAGGTTTTCGCGCGCTTTTGCGCGGGTGGTTGTGGGTAGCGCGCCCTGGACGGAGGAAGGAGCCGCGGATGTGACCGCGCCGCCCGCAGGGCTTTCGGGGATGTTCGAGGACGAGCCCCACGCCGAGGGGTCGTCGGTGGTCGCAGCGGCCGGGGAGGCGCTGCAGGCCCTGTGCCAGGAGCTGAACCTGGACGAGGGGAGCGCGGCCGAAGCCCTGGACGACTTCACCGCCATCCGGGGCAACTACAGCCTAGAGGTGAGCGGCGGCAGGTGGGGCTGCCAGACCGACCCTCACTAGGCCCCACCCCCGCCCCGCCCCGCCCCTTCCCGGTCGTCTGGGGTGGTGGAATTACCCGCTCGAAGGGTCGCTGCCAGCCGGGCGCCCACGACTGCAAAGCTGGAAGGGCGGGTTAGATCAGTCAATTAATACGTTGGTTGTTTGTGTGTGTGTGTTTTCTCCCTTGAGGCGGGAAACAAGTCAGAGGAGCGGCTTGTCCAGGTCACAAGCCACTCAGGAGTCCCCCGGTCCCCAAAGTTGCACACTAGACTTAGTTAGCTCTCGCCCAGGCGTCACAGGCGGCTGTCAGGGGACAGCTATTGTTTAAAAACCTCGGCAGTGGTGTAAAGTCAATCACGTGCTTAGGCACCACGGTTCAGCCCTAAATGTCATCTCACCTAGTTCTCCCGGCTACCTCTTGAACACGTTCCGTCGTCCCATTCCACAGATGATGAAGCTGAGACCCCTAAAGGTCCCCACTGGGGTGGCGCTGTGGGCCGCTCACTTTCTAGCTCAGCACTGCACAACGGTTTGATCAAAGCCAATGAGCGGCTGTGCGTAACCTCTCAGCCACAACTTCCTCCTATCCCATGGGGATCGTGAGGTTTTTCCGGAAGGAAGTTTAGCACACACACCGTCTGGCCCCGAATAAAACAGGACTGTCCACTTGACAGGGAGTGTTATTTTCCAAGCAATGATAATATTAAGGCCCAGGACTATTCTGATATTTATTATAGGAAGCCAGTCATAAGGACAGTTGTAGAGACAGACTTGTGATGGAAGGCGTTTCAACATGGCACCCCACTGCATATATATTCAGAGGCTGTCCTGGGCTCACACCGGAGGGTTCCTGACGGCTGTCCAGTGAAATAATCAGTTGCTAGGTTCAGAGGCTTAGCGTTGGGTATTTGGAGTTGTGTACGTCTGTCTATCTAGGAAGGAAAGAAATAACCTGAGAGAGAAGCTTGTACTTCCAGAGTACAGCTGTATCATGGACAGTGATTGGCATGACTGCAGAGCTGAGGGCGTAATAAAGTAAGGAAAATTAAGAAGTAGGGCCTCTCTGTTGAAACACATTTTTAAAAACCTGTGCAAGCATTTCTGACATCATAGGTCCTGTCGTTGAATAAATATATATGGAGTGCACACATTATCAGATATTCAAATAGGGTCTAAAAAGGCCCTATTTTTGAATATGCCTACTTGTGTGCTTCCCCTTGCCTGGAAACTTCTCCGTCCCTCTCACTGCATGGAATATTGAAGAAGTAAATCTCCAGTTTGGCAGAGTAGATCAGGACATCTTAAACATTTGATTTAGGAATTGCAGATAAGTGAATTAAGATATCGTGTTTATTTTCCCCAGCTCCAACCTGATGGGCTCCTGCTTATATTTTAATTTCCCTCTACTTACCATTTGCCAGTTTTAAGTCTCCATTTGAATCAGTCAAGATAAGTTAATCACTACACTTTACTCACCCACAACACTTTACCTTCTTCTCTTCTTACAGCATCTATCTCACCAATTATAGATAGTATCTTTCCTCTTCTTAACTCTAAACTTTAGAGTTTGCTGAAATCAGAAACCATCTTTTTATTTCTAAGGCCTAGCATCAAGAAACTAGAATAATACGGGTTTTATTTTTAAGGGAAAAAATTAAAGCATTGATTCTAGTACTTAAATTTTCTGTATCTTAGTGGTATTTTCTGTGTCCAGGGATTTTCTGATTTTTGGATGCTAGACCCAACCAATTCATTAATCAACATTTGATTTTATTCTCACCTGCTTTAATGCCTTCAGCAAATAAGATGTCTTACTACTTTAGAGTAGGAATACTGGGTTGCCGCTTTATTAGTGGCCACCCCTTCCTCCATCCCCTTTTGGCTTATTTCAGCAAAAAATTTTAGCAGCCTTTTAAGGCCTGATCTTACAAGAGAATGGTGAATAGGAACAGTACCATATTGTGCTGTGAGATTTATGTTTAGTTCTTAATCCTTAAAATGTCAGGTATAGTTCCATATTGATGTCATGAAGTGAGTCTAGTAGATAGCTCAAGTGTAAAATAGAGAGTATCCTGAATAGCATGTTTTTTGTAGCATTGTAGACTGAGATAGTCTCCAAGCCATAGAGCCAATTGCCATTTTAAAGATCAAGGTAAATAATTCCTCAAATTTTTACCTCACCTAAATGACAGTCTCAAATGTTGTCCCATATAGGTATTCATTTTTTATACCTGACTCCCTTGCTATTTCTGTTCTCTTCTTTTCTTTGTCTCTTAAACTGATAAAAAAGAAACATGAAACTAAAAGGGTAGAAAAGAACTTAAGCATCATCCAGGCAATGAATGGTAGTTTAAAATCAAGAAGACTAATACTGAAATTTTTTAAGAGAACTCTTTCAATAATACTAGATTTGTAATATAGGTGAGAGATCTATCTTTAGATTAATACTAATTTAGTATGTTAGACAGAATGAGAATAGGAGTTTTATATTCATTACTACAACTAACTAAACTTAGTGACCTTGAGTAAATAAACCTCTCTAGTCTGCTGTTATCATAATGAAAATTTGACCAGATAAAACTAGTTCTAGAATGCAAGCATTTTAACATATCTATTATTGTTTTTGTCTTTTGTCTGTCAGGGAGAAGTTATACACTGGCTAGCATGCTCATTATATGTTGCATGTCGCAAAAGCATTATTCCCACAGTTGGAAAGGGAATCATGGAAGGAAATTGTGTTTCACTTACTAGAATTCTACGTTCAGCTAAATTAAGGTAAAGCATTTTGGTTTTTCAAACATTCATAAGTCCTAAATTTAACTGTACATTTTAATTTCTCTTTATTTTAAATCATTTAACTCATTCCATTCTGTTTGTTAATTGGTAACCTTTCCCAATTCTCATATAAGAATATTCTGACGTCAGTCAGAGACCTCTGTACTAAACTTTATAAATTTTTTCATTTTTAAAAAATTTGGAAATTACGTCAAGCTTTAAGAAAAGTTGCAAAGATAAGAAAAGTATAAAGAACACCCATATAACCTTGACCCAGATTCACCTTTTAATTTTTTACCCCATTTGCTTTCTCACTGGAACTTAAATATGTGGAACTTTCTCTCTAAAGTAATACATTTTCTTCAACCATTTCAAACTCTGGAGTTTTTAGGGTTCCCTATATATTGTCATATCGTCTGCAACTAGTTGTAATTTTACTTCTTTCCCTCTTGGATTCTTTGTATGTCTTTTTCTTGACAAAACTCTTAAAGAGACACTTAGATTCTCAGATTACAGTCAGCATGCCTGAAATCTCAATATCTTTTGACTGTTACTTTTTATTTATTTATTTATCTTAAAGATTTATATTTATTTGTGCATATAAGAACTAGGGTGTAGGCCATAGGTATGTGTTGGGGGGCGGGGTTGTTAAGAGGATTCACCAGAGAACAGAGTGGGGAGTAGAATGAGCAGATCTACTGAAATACACTGCTGAGGGGAGCAGTGGGTGAGACAGGAGAGGTCTGCTGTACTATATTGGTCAGCTCCCTGGCCAGGCATAGAACTCTTGCTCCTGTAGCTGGCAGTAGTTTGATAGTGCTGAGACTTTAACCCCTGCACCACCAGTGAGGCCCTTGACAGTTACCTTTAATGTCTTTGATCACCTTTAAAAAAAATTCCAAGTATCTTTCTTTATATACTAGTAGACACTTAAATGAGCTTAACACTACAAATATTCAGTCTAAGGCCATACTAATCTAGGAACATTGTAATTGAATTAGTCAAAAGGTAGATTGATCTATGTAATTTTCTGGGTATGTTCTACCTTCTTAGTTTATGTTTGATAATAGAACCATGCTTTGGTGCTTTATGATCAACTTCCAGAATCCACAACTTTGTAGATTCTGCTAATTTTGTGAACTTCTTGTTGATTAACAATTATACTAATTGCTTATGGTTTATTGTTAATGGTTTATATTCAGAACATTGTCTAGGTGCTTTGTAGTGAACAAAAAAGTAGGTAAGTACTATTATTCCCAGCACTGAAAACATTTTATATAATGACTGCTAAGTCAAACTCTATATTCCCATGGTGATTCTAAGACCAGAGTATTTTCATGGAATTTGAGAATAAAGTATTTACGCTCTTTTAAAAATAAATACAGGGGCCTTCCTAGGTGGCTCAGTGGGTTAAAACACAGCACTAAGAAGCTAAAGCCACTTCAGCATGAGTTCGATCCCCGGCCCCAGAGGTGACCCACATGGCTCGCAGACCTCTCCTGACCCTCCCACTGCTCCCCTCAGCAGTGTACTTCGTCAGTCTGCTTGTTCTGCTCCCTACTCTGTGTCTGGTGAATCCTCTCACTGCCCCTGCACTTCTGGCCTGTACCCCAGTTCTATATGCATAAGTTAATAAATCTTTAAAATAAATAAATAAAATAAATTCAGGTTTTTAAATAAAGATTCTTAAGCATAAACTTGTGTTCTTTTTGCATCCATTACATCATTTTTTAAATTTGCTTTTTTCCTCTACTTGTTTAGCTTAATACAGTTTTTTAGTAAAATGAAGAAGTGGATGGACATGTCAAATCTGCCACAAGAATTTCGTGAACGTATAGAAAGATTAGAAAGAAACTTTGAGGTGTCTACTGTTATTTTCAAAAAATTTGAGCCAATTTTTTTAGATGTATTTCAAAATCCATATGAAGAGCCACCAAAGTTACCACGAAGCAGGAAGCAGAGGTAAGGCTTTCAATCCTTACATAATTGATGTAAAAATCATGATACAAGCTTACTAAGGGACTCAGTATTCTTAAAGACCAAGTTTTTACCACAAGTATTGAGCTGAGAAAAACTTAAATTTCCTTTTAAACCCACTTATAATTACCTATCTCTGGGAATTTAGGGTAATGTTTTTCACTTTTTTTGTGTGTGTGCAGATTGGGAAGACTTACTTATTTAAAAATGAATCTTAGATTCTCCTTTGTGAATGGAATTTTACATGTAATTTAGCTTCTCTATTCATGTTTGCTATTTCAATTTGAATGTGATGTATGAGTGATTTTTTAACAAGTTAATCATAAAAAGTACACTTTTCTCCCCTTTTTAGGAAGATTCCTTGCAGTGTTAAGGAGCTCTTTAATTTCTGTTGGACGCTCTTTGTTTATACTAAGGGTAAGGTGACACATTAGTAGACACATATTTCTCCTATGGGAATTTAGTGATAATTAACTGGCTTTCTGGTTTTGTCTTATTTTTATAAAGGTAATTTTCGTATGATTGGAGATGATTTAGTAAATTCTTACCATTTACTTCTGTGCTGCTTGGATCTGATTTTTGCCAATGCCATTATATGCCCAAATAAACGAGATTTGCTAAATCCAGCATTTAAAGGCAAGACCTTATTTATTTTTGAAAACTGATGATCAGTTTTTATAAGAAAGTGTTAAGAGTTGACCACATGTGTTCTTTTTCCATTTTGTTGCTCTTTGTATCCCGTCAAACTAGGTTTACCATCTGATTTCCACACTTCCGATTTTAGTGCTTCTGAAGAGCCACCCTGCATCATTGCTGTATTGTGTGAACTGCATGATGGACTTCTAGTAGAAGCAAAAGGAATAAAGGAGCACTACTTTAAGCCATACATTTCAAAACTCTTTGACAGGAAGGTATTGAACTTATAAATAAGTGGCTGACATTTTTAGGAATCAGCAGCAGCAGCCCCACAACACTGTTTTAAGTTCTCAACCATGTAGGACTTGGGTTCAGGATTCCTAGGTTTCAGTCTCTATTGTCACGCAGAATTGCCATGTGATCTGTGATGAGCAAAACTGAACTTTTGAAGAGTGTGACAAACCATATATATACTGTTACATAGTGTAGTGTTGGAAGGAATTTTAGGAGATCCTGGTAATTATAAAGGACAAAACATTAGAATAAGCCTGATAAGAATTAAGAAAAACAGGTCAAAGTATGCTATTTTACTGCCATAACTTGAATAACTGCTCTTCATTAAAAGTAGGGTAATAATATATACATAGCAACTTAGCTTTGATTCCATATAAGCAGAGCAGAAAAATCCCTTGTAGTTTTGTAAATACTTGCGGGTTACCCCCATGCAGTCTGGATTTTTTTCTCAAAAATTCACTTAACAGGCCCTCCTTGGTGCCACAGCAGGTGAAAGTGCAGCACTGTAAGCTAATGGCAGTTGCTTTGGCGTTAGTTGAATTCCCCAGCCCTGGAGGTAGTCTACATGGTGCAGCAGCCCTCTCCTGACCCACACATTGCTCCCCTTAGCAGTGTACTTCGTCAATCTGCCTGTTTCGCTTCCCACTCTGTTTCTGGTGAATCCTCTCACTGCCCCTGCACCTCTGGCCTGAACCCCAGTTCTGTAGGCATAAATAAATAAATCTTTTTTAAAAATTCGCTTAGTTGTTTTTTTTTAAAGATTTATTATGCATATGGAACTGGGTACTGGCAAGGATAGGGGTTGTTAAGAGAATTCACCAGAGACAGAATGGGGAGCAGAACATACAGATGGAAATACACTGCTGAGGGGAGCAGTAGGCAGGTAAGGAGAGTTCTGCCATGCCAGAGTCACACCCTTGGCTAGGGATCGAATTTGTGCTGCAGTGACTGCCAGTAGCTTCATAATGCTGCAACTTAACCCTTTGTACCACCAAGGAGGCCCTACTTTCCCTTTTCCTTAAGCTATTATTTAAAATTTGATTGCTTTTATGAGAATCACTTGAGAAATTTGTTTAAAAGTGCTGCTTCAGGGCTTTCCCTAATGACGCAACAGGTTAAAGCACCACACTATGAAGCTCTCAGAAGCTACTGCAGCATGAGTTCAGTCCCCAGCCACGGAACTGACCCACTTGTGGCAGACATCTCCTGATCTGCCCACTGCTCCCCTCAGCAGTTTACTTCTTACATCTGCCTATTGTGCTCTCCACTCTGTCTCTGGTGAATCCTCTCACCCACCACACCTTTGGCCTGTACCCCAGTTCTGTAAGCATAAGTAAATAAATCTTTAAAAAAAAAGAAAAGTTGCTTCAGCTCAGATGTATATTATACATCTGACAAAAAGATGATATCCAAGATCTATACACAACTCAACAAAATGAAAACAGTTAACCTAACTTAAAAAAGGGTAGAAGAGTTAAATAGACACTTCACCAAGAAGACATAGAGATGACCAGCAGGAACATGAGAAAAATACTATCATCAGGGAATGGCAAGTCGAAATCACAATGAGATACCTGTGGAATGGCCCGCATCCCGCATCAAAAGGACCAGAAACAAAAAAGTGCTGGTGAGGGATATGGAGAAAAAGAACCTTCATACACTATTAATGGGAATGTTGACTGGTTTGGCCCTTAAGGTCAGTGGATTCACAAAATATTAAAAATAAATCTATCATATGAGCCAGTAATCTCATTGCTAAGTATCTACCTGAAAAATGCAAAAATACTGATTTTATTGTAGTACTATTTACAGTAACCAAATTATGAAAACAACAAAGATAGATGACTGGATAAAGAAAGATATGGCATCTATAACACAATGAAATACAACTCAGCAGTAAAAAAAGAACTCTTGCCATTTGCAACAACATGAATGGAACTGGAGGGGATAATACTACATAAAATAAATCAGAAGGACAAAGATAAATACAGATGCTTTCACATATATGGGACATAGAATAACAAAACAAAGGATCGTATAAAAACAAACCCTAGAAATCTGTAGAATTAAGGCCTACCAGAGGAGAGGGAGAGGATGGAGAGCAAAGTATAGAAGGAGGACCAGTAGACTAAGTATGAGGCCATAGCTCTGGATCATATACAGTGTTGTAAACCAGTGTTGCCTTAAAGCAAAAAAAACCCCAACCTCACCCTTAAGTGACTCTGAGGTCACTAAAACTTAAAAACCACTCACATCAATAACCTTCAAGATGTTTTCAAAATTTGACTTTGTATTATTTTTAGTACTAATTTACATGTTAAATAGTTTTTACTGTTCTAAAAGCAATATTTAGTTATTCTGATTTTGTGTGTTATTTATAACTACCACTAATATGAAAATTAGATTGTCATGTTTTTGTGTATATGTTGATATATTTAACTATATGTTATCACAAAATTACTTTCTCTTCCAAGATTTTAAAAGGAGACTGCCTCTTGGACCTTTCCAATTTTACTGATAATAGGTGAGTGGCTAGCACTAATATTATCTGCCTATTATAAGACCCAATAATGATCTGCTACATTTTGTTAAGTATAACATGTTGGAGTTTGTTAAATGCAGTCTATCAGTGTAACTTCCAAATTCAAGTTTCTTCTGTGATAAAGACATTGAATGTGTGCTGTCACTAAGCCTTGGGGTATTTTTTGTTTGTTTGTTTTTGTTTTTGTTATGATTTCTTTGCATATAAGAACTGGAGTATAGGCCAGAGGTGGGAGGGAGGGGGCATGGTGGTGAAAGGATTCACCAGAGACAGAGTGGGAAGCAGAACAAGTGGAGCTACTGAAACACTGCTGAGGGAGCAGTAGGTGAAGCAGGAGAGGTTTGCTGCAATTTAGGGAGGCACTGCCTTGTTATTTTTAAGTATATTTATTTTATTATTATTTTTTTAAAGGTTTATTTATTCATACAGAACTGGGGTACAGGCCAGAGGCTCAGGGGCGGTGAGAGGCTTCACCAGAGACAGAGTGGGGAGCAGAACAGGCAGATCAACGAAGTACACTGCTGAGGGGACCATTGGGCGGGTCAGGAGAGGTCTGCCACACCATGTGATCACCTCCGGGGCAGGCAGGAATCGAACTCATGTGGAAGTGGCTCCAGCTTTTCAGTGCTGTACTTTAACCCACTGCGCCACCAGGGAGGGCCAGTGTATTTATTTTATAAGAAACTATTGGAACTCAATACAGCTAGAAACTCAAACAATTACCTAGCTACTTCTATGTTTCATTTTTTTTTTAAAGATTTATTGATTTATGCATACAAAAACTGGGGTACAGGCCAGAGGTGTGGGTGGTGAGAGGATTCATCAGAGCAGAGCAGGGAGCAGAACAGGTAGATCTAACAAAATAGAGGAGAGCAGTGAGTGAGACAGGAGAGGTCTGTCATAATATGTGGGTCACCGACCTTGCTGGGGCTTGAACTCATGCTGCAGTGGCTGCGTATTGCTTCATAGTGCTGCGCTTAACCTGTTGTGCCACCATGGAGGGCGCTGATTTTATATTATATTAATCAAATATTGGCAATTCAGAATACGCTTATGTATTTCAAAGCTGCTACTGCCTCTTCAATGATCAGACTTTAATTAGGTTCACGTATTTTTCAGATTAAGTATATATTGTCTTTCAGTTTTCAAAATAATTTATTAATGTTTATGGATGTGAAGAATGTCCCTAGTTGGATAGGAATGTCCCTAGTTTGATATCACTAGAATTAACAAAAAAATTAGAACTATCAGCTTTTCCACACTGTAGAGTCTAAATTCATCTTCAAGTAAAGATAAATTCATTGTGTAATTTAGTTTTATTCTAACAGCTTAAAATCATTCTGTTTTCAGCAAAGCAGTGAACAAGGAATATGAAGAATATGTTTTAACTGTTGGTGACTTTGATGAGAGGATCTTTTTGGGAGCAGATGCAGAAGAGGAAATTGGAACTCCTCGAAAGTTCACTGGTGACACCCCAGCAGGGAACTTGACAGCACAGGCTAATGTGGAGTATAACCTTCAACAACACTTTCAAAAAGTAATATAACCTAGCCTGGCCTCAGTCTTGAATGATCTTTTTCTCTCTGTATGATTCTACTAACAGCAGAAGCATCTTTCAAGTTAAATCTTGAGTTTCTTCTACTAATTCATATTTCCCATGAAAACCTTAAAAGGTAATTTTTAAAACTATGTCACTTAGTATTTTTACCTTATTTTTTTACTATTTCTCATATTTTGGATATATTTTCCTGTAATACCTGGATTTTTCAGTAGGGTATGTTTGTATCTTAAGATAGATTTTATAATTTTTTATCATTCTTTATATCAATTTAGCCACAATTCTGTTTATTTAAAATTTAATTTGTTTTCCTACCCATGACAAGGTATGTGTTTTTCTTGAACCCCAGTCATATAACTTGGACTTAACCATATATACAGCAGAGGCTTAATTCTGTATTTATGTGTAAAATGGTTTGGAGGATAAAGTCTAATGGGGAATTCAGCGATCTAGATATAGAAAACTGAAGTTGTTTTGTTTTTTTTTAAGATTTATTTATTTATTTATACAGAACTGGGGTATATAGGCCAGAGATGCGGAGGGTGAAAGGATTCACCAGAGACACAGCTGGGAGCAGAACAAGGAAGTACACTGCTGAGGGGAGCAGCAGGCGGTCAGGAGAGGTCTGCCGAGCCATGTGGATCTCCTCCCGTGCAGGCAGAGATCAAATTCATGTGGAAGTAGCTTAAGCTTCTTAATGCTGTGCTTTTAACCCACTGCGCCACCCGGGAGGGCCAAAAACTGAAGTTTTTAATCCAGATTCTCCTTTGTCAACTTCAACAAATTTTTTTGTTACTGTGCCTGTTTTCTTATATGTAAAATTAAAGTATATATATTTCAGATGAGTGTTAGGAGAGAGTATAGATACAAAGTACTTTGAAAAAGAGTTATTCAAATGCAACTATATAAACAACATAATGAGATGGAAGGTGACTTTTTAATCTCAGATTTTTCTTTTCTAACAGAAAACATCGTTTGCGCCTTCTACCCCACTGACAGGACGGCGATATTTACGTGAAAAAGAAGCTGCTATTACTCCTGTTGCTTCAGCCACTCAAAGTGTGAGTCGGTTGCAGACTATAGTAGCTGGACTGAAAAATGCACCAAGTGAACAACTTGTAAACATTTTTGAGTAAGCCCAATACTATTCTTTTTTTTTTTTTTTTTTTAAAGATTTATTTATTTGTACATACAGAACTGGGGTACAGGCCAGAGGCTCAGGGGCGGCGAGAGGCTTCGCCAGAGACAGAGTGGGGAGTAGAACAGGCAGATGGTTCTGGGGAGTAGAACAACAGACACTGCTGAGGGGAGCAGCGGGTGGGTCAGGGGAGGTCTGCCGCGCCATGTGGTCACCTCCGGGGCAGGCGGGAATTGAACTCATGCGGAAGTGGCTTTAGCTTCTCGGTGCTGCGCTTTAACCCGCTGCGCCACCAGGGAGGGCCCAATACTATTCTTTTTTTAAATGTTTCTTTTGAATTAGATTCTGTATGCCATTCTGTTTTCAATATATTTAGAATTCTTGAGATAGTGTTTTTAATAATACATAAAAATATAAAGTTTTATTATATATTTCAATCACAAAGTACATTGATCTAAAATCAGATACCTGTTAAAGTATCTGTTAAAAATTACATATCTTATGTGGTACATTAGCTCAATGGAATATTATTCAATGATCATAAATGATAAACACATGCCTTTTGCAGCAGCATGGATGGAGCTGGAAGGGATCATGATGCTTAGTGAAATAAATTGGAAAGAAAAAGAAAAAGAACTGATGGTTTCACTCATAGCAGGAGCATAAAGGACCAGGGGAAAAATAATAATAATGAACAACTATATACTAGAGACATTTTATGGGGGTGGAGTGGAGGATGGGATCAAAAATGGGGGGGAGTGCATAGGACTGTGATGATGGCACACAGGTGAATTGGTGATGGGAAGCCCATGGGGATTACAATTGAGATGGAAAAAGGCACAAAATGATGCAAAAATAAATTATAATAAATTCCTTATCTTAAAAGTATGTAACTCTGACATTTAATTCTTATAAATACCCCTAATTTATACATTACTGTTTTTCTTTCTATATTGACTTTAAGTGAGTTCAGTCTAAATGTACAACAAATGATATAACTGATGCAGTGGGTGGTGCAACCATTAAATGGAATTAGATCCAGTTGATTAAGAGAAGGCATGAAGTCAGATCAGAGAATCATCTTTCCTAATAACCAGTGAAATAAGAAAATAGTGAAAATCAACAAACTCTTTACCAGCAACAATCAGATGAGGAGAAGGATATAGTCTTACTGTATACATTTCAAGAAAGAAAATGAACCTGGTGTATCCAGGGTACATTGATAGATTCTTGAAAATGCTCAGGGTGTGGAGAGAAGCAAATGGGGTGAGTAAGCAAACAGGTAAAATTCACTGCCTCCGCAACTGAAAGTCCCTATATACCACTACCAGGCTTACCACAGAGATGAAAAACTCTAGGAGCTTCCAGTTTCCAAAGTTTCATGCTGATTTGGGGAGCAGTTGTTACTGAACTAGAAGATAGCCCTGATTGGATATGTTGAACCTTAGAATGTGGGGGCATTTAACAAAATCTCAGAAAAGAAAGCAAAGTCCTGGGCTTCCATTAAAATGGAGCATAGCACCATCTAAGCTCTTCTAGTCCCCAAACCTTCAGTCTGCATAAAAGTGGACAGTGTGTTTCTGTTCTGCTTCCCACTGCTGAGGGGAGCAACAAGCAAGACAGAAGAGGTCTGCTGCGCCATGTGGGCCATCTTCCTGGCTGGGGATGGAACTCGCGCTTTAGTGGCTGTGGATAGCATCATAGTGCTGTGCTTTTAACCCCTTAAGCCACCAGAGAGGCCCAAGAACATAGTATTTTTACCATGTGTGATACCTAACTCCCTATATAGTATGGTTGGTTAGGATATTCGGCTTTGAGCAAATCACTTTTCCCCCCACCATGCTGGATTTGTTTGTCATTTTTTAATTAATACCTATGTTCTGTGCTTGAATGATAGAAAGGTGACAGTAATATAAAGTGCCAAGTATCTCTTCTCTTTTAATATTCTATTTTTCTATTTTTTCTTTTTTTTTTTAAATATTTATTTATTTATGCATACAGAACTGGGGTACAGGCTAGAGGTGCAGAGGCAGTGAGAGGATCACCAGAGACAGAGTGGGGAGCAGAACAGGCAGAACATACAAAGTACACTGCTGAGGGGAGCAGCAGGTGGGTCAGAAGAGGTCTGCCGCATCATGTGGATCACCCCCGGGGCGGGGATCAAACTCATGCTGAAGTGGCTTTAGCTTCTTAGTACTTTAACCTGCTGCCACCATGGAGGGCCCTCTTTTTTTTTTTTAAGATTTATTTATGGGTACAGACCAGAGGTTCAAGGACGGTGAGAGAATTCACCATAGAGTGGGGAGCAGAATAGGCCAACTGATGAAGTACACTGCTGAGAGGAGCAGTGGGCAGGTCAGGAAAGATCTGCTGCACCATGTGGGTCACCTCTGGGGTGGGGGTTGAACTCATACTGAAGTGGCTTTAGCTTCTAACCTGCTGTGCCACCAGGGAGGGCCTATTTTTTCTTTTGACTTTGATAAGTAGATGCATCTTATTGTTCTGGTGTTGTGTATATGTACATATGTATGTAAATAGACACTACACATCATTTCTTATTTTTCTCCAGATTCATTGAAGTATAATTTATATATAATAGGAGTCATCCTTTTTATTGAACAGTTAGGAGGTTTGACACATGCATATAATTGTGTAACCATCACACTCAAGGTATAGATCAGTTTCATTATCCCCCTTTTGTAGTTGGGCCCTCTGTCACTTCTAGCCTCTGGCATTTTGCTAACCCACTGAGGGGTGCATTGACCCGTACGTTCGCCCAAACGTAAGAGACTCGGAGACGTGAGAGAAGCAGGAGCCTGGGGTCTAGAGTCCGAAGTCGGTTTATTAGGACTGCCCATGGGTATATATAGCGGCTGTACTTGCAGTGAAAAACAGGAAATGTGCCCAACGCAGGGAGTGGGGTGCATGTTTGTACCAGGCCTGGGGCTTCTTGTAGCTTCTACCTAAAGCAAAGTAGTAGGCTGCAGCTGTTTACAGGACAAAGTGCACTGTGCTCTGCTGACTTGTTTGTTGGCCTTACTGGAGTGTGCTCACCCATACACAACATTAGCCAGTGTAGACAGGTGCACTTGAGGTCCTGTCAAGTTAGCCACACTGGCAATGATTGATATATCTTCTGTCCCTATAGTGTTGCCATTTTCTGGAATGTCATATAAGCAGAAACATAATTAGAGGTCATTTACTACTCTGATGTTGAAATTCTTTTGTGTATATATATATATATATTTTATTCATATAGAGCTGGGGTACAGGCCAGAGATGCGGAGGGTGAGAGGATTCACCAGAGACAGAGAGGGGAGCAGAAAAGGCAGATGACGAAGTACACTGCTGAGGGGAGCAGCGGGCAGGTCAGGTTGCCATGTGGATCTCCTCTGGGGTAGGCGGGAATCCAACTCATGTGGAAGTGGCTTAAGCTTCTCAGTGCTGTGCTTTAACCCGCTGCGCCACCAGGGAGGGCCTGATGTTGAAATTCTAAAGCACTATACCAAACGATTGTATAATGTTTAAAGATTAGACTTTTTTAAGTATGTTATGTTTACATACCTAGGTTTATAATTGAGAATAGAACTTTGGTCACTAAAAAACATACTCATTCGATGCAAATTAAAACCACAATGAGATATCACCTCACCCCAGTGAGAATGGCACATCTTCAAACAACTAGCAACAACAATTGTTGGCAAGGATGTGGAGAAAAAGGAACTCTCCTGCATTGCTGGTGGGAATGCAAACTAGTACAACCACTATGGAAAGCTGTTTGGAGGTTCCTCAAACTGCTAAACATGGAGCTTCCCTACGACCCAGCAATCCCATTCCTAGGTATCTATCCAAAAGACAGAAAAACACTGATGAAAATGATACTTGTACCCCCATGTTTATTGCTGCTTTATTTACAATTGGAAAAACATGGAAGCAGCCCAAATGCCCAAAAGTAGATGACTGGATTAGAAAGAGGTGGTATATATATACAATGGAATATTACTCAGCAACCAAAAAAGAGAAACACATGTCTTTTGCAGCAACTTGGATGGAGCTGGAAAAGATCATGCTTAGTGAGATAAGCCAGAAAGAGAAAGAAAAATACCGGATGGTTTCACTCATAGCAGGAGTATAATGGACCAGGCGAGAAAATAACAAAAATAATGAACAACCATATACCAGAGACATTCTGTGGGGGTGGAGTGGGGAATGGTATCAAAAATGGGGGCGGCCCTCCCTGGTGGCGCAGCGGGTTAAAGCACAGCATTGAGAAGCTAAAAACCACTTCCGCATGAGTTCGATTCCCGCCTGCCCCGGAGGAGACCACATGGCGTGGCAGACCTCTCCTGGCCCACCCGCTGCTCCCCTCAGCAGTGTACTTCATAGATCTGCCTGTTCTGCTCCCCACTCTGTCTCTGGTGAAGCCTCTCACCACCCCTGACCCTCTGGCCTGTACCCCAGCTCTGTATGCACAAATAAATAAATCTTTAAAAAAAAAAAATGGGGGGGAAGGGAGGGAAATGCACGGGACTATGGTGGTGGCACAGGGGTGATTTGGTGATGGGAAACCCGCGGGGATTACAATCGAGATGGAAAAAAAAATGTGCAAAATGATGTAAAAATAAACTTTGTAATAAAAAAAAATACTCTTTCTTCAAAGAAGAAATGTTGGTATTCTGGATTTTTTTCCCCAAGTAATTAGGTGCCTCTTGTATTTTATAGATCTTGTATGCGTAATCCTATGGAAAATATCATGAAAATAGTGAAAGGAATAGGAGAGACTTTCTGCCAACATTATACTCAATCAACAGATGAACAACCAGGATCTCACATAGGTAAGAAGATAAAGCTAAAATTTTTAATTTTCTTTCAAATCACTGAAAATAGATTGTCTCTCTAAAAAGTAGAAATCCAAGTTTTTCCTTCTTTGCTATTCTTAATACTTAAGATTTGAGCATATACAAGTTTTGTTTTTCAGTCTTTAGTAGCTGCATCTGATTAACATTTACTATTTATTGCACCTGTAGACTTTGCTGTAAATAGACTAAAGCTTGCAGAAATTTTATATTATAAAATATTAGAGACTGTGATGGTTCAAGAAACACGAAGACTTCATGGAATGGACATGTCAGTAAGTAAATTCATTCTCCTCCCAGCCACTGGCAAAAATCCTAAGCCTGAAAGCAGTGTGTTGAGAAGCTATATGTGGTGTTTTAGGGGTCAGTAATCAATGACAAGCTTTGCCAAGATGACATATTGGTTGATCTTAGTTGTCTTTGGTACATGCAGAGGTTACCACTCTAGGCAAAAATGTGAGAGACATAAAATTTATATTTGATACACCCTTAGTAAGTATACTTTCCTTTCAGTCTTTTTTGTTCTTCATTCCCAGCTAGCTAATAATGAAACGAGATGTTGGTAAACCCTTATATTGGCATAAGTTTGCCTTATACTCTGGACAGAATGGTAATAAGTCTAGCAACCTCAATCTTAACCATTGATGTCTTTTAAGACTTCTCTGAAATGCTGATTTCTTTAGAGCAGTATCTGCTTGTCTCTTGCCTACCTATTGGTGATGTATAGCAGAACAAGGAAGGGGAACTTGGTCTTACATCTCAGTCTGCCATCTCTCACCTAGAACCATAGTATGTTTTCTGTCTAATGTTCTCAAGCTCTTTGTTGCTCTAGTTCAGTCTTTATGGAGAATAATTCTTCAGTCCCCTGTTGGGATGAACTAGTGGCCTATTATGTAACTCCTTATAGTGAATGATTGGGTAGGGGGAGCGAGAGGAGTTGTAACTGCTGCAGGTTTTCAAATCCTCCACCTTGTCAGCCCCTGCCTAACCTGTTATCCATTTCGCCTGTGCCCTCAGTTGCTGTGTTTTTCCAAGCCGCATAGAGCAACATTTATTTGAAGTGTCTCTTGCGGCCCTTAATGTTTAATATCCTACTGTCTGCTAAGTATTTATCATTCTCCCATATACTTTCAGTCTTCATATATTAAGTTTTGCTGCTACAGATGATTACTAGCTTTGATTTTAGTGCTTTCTAATAATAAGTTCATGTTGACAAACAATAACCATAAAATTGGCAGAAAAAAGGAACAAATCTTAGTACTTTTATGTTGATGGGAATGTTTTCTATATATTATTCACTCAAATTTCAAATTAGATTGTTGTGTGTGACTCTTAAATTTAAGATCTACCACTGAGCAAGATTATATAAGAACATTCCTTACCAGTTTGAGAATGTAATGTACAGTTTTGTTTTGTTTTGTTTTGTTTTCATTTATTTCTAGGGTCTGTATAAAATAGCAAAGACTGAAATTACTGAAAAACAATAAACTGGGTCTTTCTCTTCTTCAAGGTTCTTTTAGAACAAGATATATTTCATCGTTCCTTGATGGCCTGTTGTTTGGAAATTGTGCTTTTTGCCTATAGCTCACCACGCACTTTTCCCTGGATTATTGAAGCTCTCAATTTGCGACCATTTTATTTTTATAAGGTGAGATGAGAGGTTACAGCATACCTCACATGAACACTCTGTTTATCTTAGAGCTGAAAAAATTAACTGTAGTGATGTCTGGAAAATACTTCCAGAGGTGTTCTGAAAACATGTATTCCTTTCGGGTATCAAGCACAAAAGGGAGAGGATGGGAGTAAATGAAGCCAGTCTCAGAGCTTCAGTTCTTTTTCCATTGCTGACTTGCAAATTGATTAGGAATTAAGTATTTAACTTTGTATTTTCTGTATTAACAAATGGAAGTCATTAGTCTGTTAAATAAATACATGATATAGAACAAAGACACTTTTTCACAGGAGAAAAAATTGTCCAAAATTGTGATTCTGGTCTACCTACTAAAAATATAATAACTGACATGCCCCTTCCTCAAATTTGAGCTGAGAACACGTCTTACTTATTTTCCCTTTTTTTCTGCTAGAACTATTTTTATTAACTTATAAAACAGAAGTTACTACTATGGTAACGTTTAATGCTCTTAGTATCTGAATTTGAGACTAATGCTATGGCACTTAATTGGCATGATCTAATTAAAGTTATTTGTGTTACTTATAAACTCTCAATGATAAAAAAAGTTAATTTGAAGTGTTAAATTTTTTTCTCTAAAAATTATAAAAAATGCAAATAATTGGAATTCTTATCTATTTGAATTGTTGACTGAATGGGATTTTAGTTAGGGAAAATTGCTTCTATATATTTACTCGAATGTTAATGTGTAAGTTCAGATTTTCCACTAGGGAGTATATATAATTTCGTTAAAGGAAGTAGTTAAGTTTTATCCTTACCTAAAGCAATTTGTTTTTACTTGTAACATCCTTGTTTCATTCTAGAAGCTAAATTCTTTTGTTTTAATAATGTAAGTAATATATATTCCTTGAAGAAAAACAAAAATGTACTTAAATATAAATATTAAAATCACATTATCATTATAAATAATAAGTGATGAGTGTATGTGGTTACTATCATAAGTTAATAATTTTTATTGCAGTTTTTCTTTGTATCCTAATGAACTTTTTTCCCCATTTTTTTCACCCCATGCTATGTTTATTCTCAAATCAAGTTACATGTTACCTTCAATTCTTTGCTAGTCTACTGAGGTTTTTTTTTTTTTTTTAAAGATTTATTTATTTATGCATACAGAACTAGGTTGCAGGCCAGAGGTGCAGGGGTGGTGAGAGGCTTCACCAGAGACAGAGTGGGGAGCAGAACAGACAGATGGATGAAGCACACTGCTGAGGGGAGCAGTGGGCGGGCCAAGAGAGGTCTGCTGTGCCATGCAGATTACCTCCAGGGCAGGGGTCGAACTCATGTGGAAGTGGCTTTAGCTTCCCAGTGCTGTGCTTTAACCTGCTGCACCACCAGGGAAGGCCAGTCTACTGAGATTTTAAATAAAAGTTAGCCTATTAATTCAAAATAAAGACAGTAGCAGTATTGGCATAGGTATGTTTTATTTGGGCACTGGGTAGTGTGGGTACTCTTATTAAAATAGAACTGTAGCATATATAAGTAAATTTCCTTTTGTAAATACACTATTCATTCTGTTCTTTTGAGCATATTGGGAAGAGTATTCTGAGAAGGGGCAGTAAATTCAAAATAGCACTGGATTGGAACAGCCCAAGATCTATCATTGTTGAGTGTTAACCAGTTTCTACCTTTCATTGCCACATTTTCCATGTATAAAATAAAACATGAAAAGCAGAAATGTGTATGAAAGTATTTGAAGATACTAAAAATTCCTTTAAATTAAAATGTATTAATAAGCCATGGAATTATAGTACAAAGATATTTTTGGTTCTGTGTTATTAATAAGACCAGTGCTAGCCATATATGGAAGCCTGGTATAGAACTGACTGCTTAAGAACACATTGCCATCTCAGTTTCCTTTTCTTCAGGTTATTGAGGTGGTGATCCGCTCTGAGGAAGGACTCTCCAGGGACATGGTAAAACATCTGAACAGCATTGAAGAACAGATTTTGGAAAGTTTAGCATGGAATCACAATTCTGCATTGTGGGAGGCTCTTCAGGCTTCTGCAAACAAAGTTCCTACTTGTGAAGAAGTAAGTCAGGGCTAGGCTGATAATCATGTCATTTTATAAAGTAACAGCTTTATTTACAAATAATTGACATACTGTACCATTTACTCAGAGAGTACAATTCAGTGTTTTTTTAGTATCCTCATAGATATAAATAGTCATCAGTACATTCAACTTTGTCTGTTTTGTTTTGTATTTATTTATGCACACAAGAACTGGTGGTACAGGCTAGAGGTACAGGGGATGAGAAGATTCACCAGAGACAAAATGGGAAACAGAACGAGAAGATTGACAGAAATACACTGCAGTGGGCAAGACTGGAGAGGTCTGCCACGCCATGTGGGTCATTTCCCTGGCCAGGGATCAAACTCATGCTGCAATGGCTTCAAGTAATTTCATAGTGCTGCACTTTAACCTGTTGCACCACCAGGGAGGACTCCAGCACATTTTATTTTGAAACATACTGATTGTTTCCAAAAGAAACTGTAATCTTTAGATACACTTTCTTGTTCCCTCTAGTCTTAAGTAAGTAGTAATCTGTTTCTGTTGTAGTGATTTGCCTGTTCTGGACATTTTTGTGAAGCCATATAACATGTGATCCTTTGTTACTCTTTAATTTAGCATAATGTTTTCAAGGTTATGTTGTAGTATATATCAGCACTTCTTTATGTGATTTGAAACTCCATTACGTGGGTATACCACTTTTTTTTTTTTTTAAGATTTATTTTTAATTTATACATATAAGAGCTGGAATGTAGGTTAGAGGTGAAGGGGGTGGGCTGGGGATAGGAGGTGAGAAGATTCACCAGAGACAGATTGGGAAACAGAACAGGTATATTGACTGAAATACCCTGCTGAGGGGACAGTGGGTGAGATAGGAGAGGTCTCCCGCACCATGTGGGTTAATTCCCTGGCCGGGTATCTAACTTGTGCTATAGTAGTTGCTGATAGCTTGATAGTGCTAAGACTTAACCCCTTGTACCCCCAGGGAGGCCCAGTATACCACTTTTTTTATACGTTTATTAATTGATGGATATTCGGGCTCTTTTGGCTGTACTACTGTTGTGAACATTTATGAATGAGTGTTTGTGAAGACATATGTTTTCATTTTTCTTGAGTATGTGAGAAGTAGAATTGTTGAACTCAGTTGAAGCTATTGGGGAGCTTCCAGAGTACTTTCCAAAGTGGTTGAGCCATGTTAACAGTCCTACCATTAGTGTATGACGATTCCAGCTTCTCCAACACTACTTGTGTTTTTGATAATAACCACCTTAATGTATGTGAAGTAATATCCCTTATGACTATAATATACAACCAGTTTTCACATGTTTATTATATATATCCTCTTTGGAACTATATATATTTAGATCTCTTGTCCATTTTCTAAAATCGGTAGTCCTTTTACTATTGAATTGTAGGAGCTCTTTATAATCAGATACAGCTCCCTTATTTGATATGTGATTTGCCACCAGGGAGGGCCCCAATGTTTAAATTTTATAAAACCTAAAGTTTGTGCTTACAAATCATACATTTAACAGTTTAATGGTATATGAGAAATTTTTTTCCCACTACCTCATTCTTTTGTAACTCTTTTCATCCTTCTTTACTTTTCTGCATCTCTTTATACTTCACTGACGTTCTTGAATTTTTCTCTAATCCCAAACTACTAGACTTGTCCAGGATCAGAAAGAACTAAAATGAGGTGATTTTTTTTTAAAAAAAACTTTCACCTCTGTTTCTTTTATCTTTTGCAATAGATCATATGTGAGTACTTGTGATAATTCACTATTGATCAATATTTTCATCGTAGAATGCAAAGAATGGAAAGCTCTGAGCTTAAAGGAAAAGGATTTGTGTTAAAGCTCTTTGTGTATTACTTTGTAGTAGTGTATCCTTGGGCAAATTTTCTATTTTGAGCCTCAGTTTTCTCATTCCTACTTGGAGAATGATTGCCTCTTTCATAAGTTTATTCCTAGTGGTTAGTAAACTTATATGATTAAATGAGATAAAGTCTTTACATATATCAAGGAATATTAATTATGAGCACTTTATGCCAGTTGTTACATTTTATGAAAAAGATAAGGGGAACAGAACAGTTAAAGTTAAAACTTTTCTCATTTTTTTATGTTAAAAGTTTCCATCAGGGCTCTCCCTGGTTGTGCAGTGCTAAAGTTCAGCACTCCAAGTGAGCTGCAATTGTTTCAGTGGGAATTTGATCCCCACCCCAAAGGTGATCCACATGGCATGGCAGACCTCTCCTGACCCGCCTGCTGCTCCCTTCAGCAGTGTATTTTGTTAGTCTGCTTGTTCTGCTCCCCACTCTGTCTCTGGTGAATCCTCTCACCACCCCTACACCTGTAGCCTATACCCCAGTTCTGTATGCATAAACAAATAAATCTTTTAAAAAAAGTTTCCATTAGTGGGTTTATATATATCTGTGTATATCTAAAGCAAAGGGATTTTGTTTTCCACAGGTTATATTTCCAAATAATTTTGAAACAGGAAATGGGGGAAATGTACAGGGACATCTTCCCATGATGCCAATGTCTCCTCTAATGCATCCAAGAGTCAAAGAAGTTCGAACTGACAGTGGGAGTCTTCGAAGAGGTAGATTCAACATTGGTAAAACAATAAAAAATTATTAAAGATTTTTTTTGCAGAGAAAATTTCAATTGCTAATATATTAAGAAATCTGATACAGCTATCAAGATATGAAAAGGAATTTAATGCTTATGCTTCTATAATTCATTGTATACTTTTTAATATTAAAGTAGGGGTCTCCCTGGTGGTATAGGAGTTAAAGTCTCAGCATTATCAAGCAGTCAGCAGGCATTGCAGCATGAGTTCTATCCTGGCCAGGGAGCTAACTCACATGGTGCAGCAGACCTCTCCTGTCTCAAGACTGTCCCAAGACTCTGGTAGGAAAAGATCATTCCAAGGCATTTCCAGTTAACTTCATGGCCATGATATCAGTCTTTCCTTGGAATGTTTGCTTTAAACACCCATCACAGTCAGATTCAAGAACTGCTTCTTATATATAAAGCATCCAGGTAGAGTCCTGTTAATGGGGAAATGGAAGCTACTGAAGTAATTTACATTTTTTTAGTGAAAATGGGAAGAAAACTGTTTTGATAACGCTAGAACTCTAGAGTTTTTTCTTATGACTATTTTCCCTCTCATCTCAGTGAACTATCAAATCATTGCCAGAGGTAATTTTTGTACTTTTTAAGCATATTTTGAAAACAAACTACATGACTCTAATTATCTAGTGAAATGCTTTTACTTTAAAAGCATACATACACACACAATCTCCCAAACCCCACACACACATGTATACCTGTTAGATACAGTGCAAGAGAGAATTGTGGGTAAAGATACAGGGTTGCAGGGAGCTAGGGGCATCCTGTACTTAGTGGAAAGGGGAAAGGTCAGCTCTGGCAGAAGGAGAACACTATCAGAAGACATCACGCATACCCTTACTGTCTTTTTAATCAACACACTACTGCCTACCTTTATATTAAAGCAGATTAAGTAGAGTCATACTGCCTTTACTTATCTTCATCTATTAAACTTATAAAAGATAACCCCATATCTACAAAATCAGAAAACTACAGCTACCACCTTAAACTTCTTGAAGCAAGTTGATGAACCAGATTGCCCTTTTTTTTTTTCCTTCTCAGCTGTTATTTTTAGGTAAGCTGGGGAAACAAGTTAACTAGAGTACTTATAAATTTAGTGGTAATTTCATTCTGTTTGTCAGCTTATATTTTACCTTGATATCTTGCTCCTTTAATATAAGCAGATGTTCAGAGAACCAGGAAAGTGAGCTGTCATAATATTCATATTTTGTTGTAATGAGTTAATTGCATGCCTGTCTTTCTTACTTGATATTCCATGAGGACAGAGGCTATATTATTCATTGCTGGATGCCTCGTGCCTCTCTCTCAGCATAGTACCTGATTATCTGTTAAATGAATAAGTAAACCTGTTTTACTATAATACATGTCAAACTATTTTAAATTAATTTTTCTTTTTATCAGATATGCAGCCATTGTCTCCAATTTCTGTCCATGAACGCTACAGTTCTCCTACCGCAGGGAGTGCTAAGAGAAGACTTTTTGGGGAAGACCCTCCAAAGGAAATGCTCTTGGATAAACTTATAACAGAAGGAACAAAATTAAAAATTGCTCCTTCTTCAAGCATTGGTGCTGAAAATATATCAATTTCACCTGGGCAGAGTCTTCTAACAATGGCCACAACCTTAGTAACAGGGACAACAGGACATAAAGTTACAGTTCCATTACATGGTAACATTTTAATGCACTTATTTTATTTTTTTTCTGAGTTGGATAAAAAAACTTAAGGAATGTCTTACTAGACTGGATATTTCTTGACCTATATAACATTTTTTATTTTTAGAGCAGTTATAGATTCACAGCAAATTGAATGGAATGTACAAAGATTTCCCATGTACCCTCTGCCCAGACACACAGCCCCTTCCTCCCCCATCATCAACATCAGAATCAGTATATTTGTTACAATTGATGAACCTACACTGGTACAGCATTATCACTCCAAGTCCATAGTTTGCATTAAAGTTGACTATTGGTTTGCATTAAAGTTGAGTATTGTATGGAATAGTTTCACTTACCTAAAAAAATCCTTTGTGTTCTATTAAAAAAAAAAAAACTGTAGATTTTTTTTTATCTATACTGGTTTTTTAATTTTCACATTTTATATATTTACTGGCCTCTTTGTTAAGATTTACTTTTATATCTGAGCTTATTAATGTTTGGGCAAAGTTTTTGTTTGTTGACTAAAACCATCTCTTTAAGAACTCAAGAAAAGACAATATTATTGCTTCCACTACAAAAATAGAAAAAGAATGTCACAGCCTAGAATTACTGTTTTTGTGGTTCTCCTCTCCTTGTCTAATATATTCCTAAACCTATAACACAGAGAAAGAAAGAATTGTAGATTTTCTGGAGCACAAGCTGTTTACTTCTAAAAGTAAAACTCTTGCTTGTACATTCAGGTATTGCAAATGATGCTGGAGAGATCACACTGATACCACTTTCTGTGAATACAACTCAGCCCACAGTTGAGAGTCCTGTGTCACTCACAGCTCAATCATTAATTGATGTTTCTCCAAAACATACCCATCTGACTAAGGCACAAGAGGTACCTCCAACTGGAATAAACAAACCAAAGAGAACTGGATCCTTAGCACTGTTTTATAGAAAGGTATGTGTTTTTATAGTATCTAAAACAAAATCCCATTTGATCAGTGCAACAGATTGAGTAACAAAGGGCAGCTTTAGCTGCTTTTTGAAATGTGTGTGTGGCAAAATAAATAACAAAAAGTTTGTCATTTTAGCAAGTTTTTGTACAGATAATGTCATTAAGTTCATTTACATTGTTGTGCAGCTTTATCACCATCTGTCAACTTCCTAAACTGAAACTACTCTCGTTCCTCTACTTCCTGTAGGTGCTCGGTAACATCCATTCTATTTTCTGTCTATGAGTTTAACTACTCTGAGAATCTCATAAGTAAAATCATTTGTGACAGGCTTATTCCACTTGGCATATGTCTTTAAGGTTCATCCTTCATCCATGTCTTAGCTTGTGTCAGCATTTTCTTCAATTTTTTAAAAAATTTTCTTCATTTTTAAAGGCGAATATCCTGTTTGTAATACATGCTGCACTTTGTCTAGCCTGCACTTTGTCTAGCCGCTCTTCTGTAAGATGGACATTTAGTTTGTATCTACTTTTTTGTAACAAAAAAGTCTTTGCTTTCAGTTCTTTTGGGTATATATGCAGAAATGGAATAGTAATTCTAAATTTTTTTTAAGTACTGCCAGACCATCTTTCACAGTGGCTACACTATTTTACATTCTCATCAGCAATGCACAAGGTTTCCAAGTTCTCTACATATTCTCTTAACAACAATAATTGTTACTTTTTTTTAAATAATAGACATCCTAATGAGTTTGAAGTGATATCTATAGTTTTGATTTGTGTTTCCCTAATGGTGGTTTTTGAGCATTTTTTCATGTGCTTGCTGGCCATGGCTAATGCCTTCTAAAGTCCTTTGCTCATTTTTCATTTGCTTCTGTTGTTGAATTGTAGAATTCCTTTATATATCCTGTTACTTATCAAACTCATGACTTGTAAATATTTTCTCCCATGCTATGGTTTGTGTTTTTGTTACTTTGATAGCTTCCTTTGTGGGAACAAGCCTTTCACTTGATGAACACCAGTTTGTATATGCTTTGCTTTCTTTTTTGTACTTTTGGTGTCATATCCAGGAAGTCATCATTCTAATATCAGGAAACTTTATCCATGTATTTTTTTCTGGGATTTTTATATATGCCAGACCATTTTCCACACCATTTTGTAAATGGTGTGAAATAAGGGTCCAATTTCATTCTTCAGACAGATATCCAGTTTTCTTAACATCATTTATTGAAAAGATTAATCCTTTCCCCCATTGATTATCTGCCACCCTTGTCAAAGCTCATTCTACCATATGTGTTAAGTTTATTCCTAAGCTTTCTGTTTTATTCTTTGGTCCCTTTATGTTTGTTTTTTATGCCAATACACAGTTTTGATTGCTGTTCTACTTTTTGATTAGTTTTGAATTCAAGAAATATGAGACTTCCTAGCTTTTTTCTTTTTCAAGATTATTTTGACAATTCAGAGTTTCTTGAGATTTCTTTGAGTTTTGGAATGGATTTTTCTATTTCTGCAGGAAGCATCATTGATATTTTTATAGAAATTGCATGGATCTGTAGATTGCTTAGAATAGTGTTGACCTCTATTAAATCTTCTATAACATTAAATCTATCTATTATTAAATAGTCTATGAACATGAGATTTCTTTCCATATATTTGTTTTTTCTTAATTTCTTTCAGCAGTATTTTGCAGTTTTTAATATTCAAGTCATTTGTCTCCTTGTTTAACTTATTTCCTAAATATTCTTTTTTTCCCTAAATATTCTTTTTCATGTTATTATAAATGGAATCATCTTCTTAGCCTTTTTAACAAGCAAGGCTTTTACTTTCTCTTAGGAGAAAACATTTTGAGGGTCCTCCCTGGTGCACAGAGTTAAGGACACGTGCTATCAAACTGTTGCCAGCTACACGACATGACTTTGATCCCCAGGCTGATCAAGGAGCTGACCCACACGGCACAGCAGACCTCTCCTGTCTTGCCCACTGCTCCCCTCAGCAGTGTGTTTCTGTAGATCTGCCTCTTCTCCTCTCCACTCTGTCTCTGGTGAATCCTCTCAACCCCCTGCATCTCTGGCTTACACCACAGCTACATTCATAAATAAACAAATCTTATTTAAATTAAAAAATAGAAGACATTTTGATCTTGGTGACCTGTTTTTGTACTTTGATTCATAAGGTTTTGTTCTATTTCTTGATATAACTTAGATTTTCTGCCAACTTGTATTCTTATGTAACTGAATAAGCAGTTGGCTAACCTTTGGAATTTTCTGAAAGTCTATTTTGTTATATTACTGTAACTTGGAATTTATTGTGGGATAAGTATATCTTGGATTTTATGGATAAGCTAAAAATACTGAAAAATCATATGACTAGTGTCTAATATTACATTTTAAAGATTGGTAGGGAGGCTACATAGTTTGATAATAAATCAAGTTTTTTTTTAATGAATAATAGTTTATTTTTACATCATTTTGTGCATTTTTCCATCTCAGTTGTAATCCCCTTGGGCTTCCCATCACCAAATCACTCATGTGCCATCACCATAGTCCAATGCATCTCCCTCCCCCACTGTTTTTGATCCCCTTCCCCACTCCATCCCCATAAAATATCTCTGGTATATAGCTGTTCATTGTTATTACTATTTTCTCACCTGGTCTGTTATATTCCTGCTATGGGTGAAACCATCCGGTATTTTTCCTTTTCTTTCTGGCTTATTTCACTAAGCATGATCTTTTCCAGTTCCATCCATGTTGCTGCAAAAGGCATGTGTTTGTTTGTTTATTTATTTATTTGGTTGCTGAGTAATATTCCATTGTGTCTATGTGCTACATCTTTTTAATCCAGTCATCCACTTTTGGGCATTTGGGCTGTATCCATGTCTTTCCAATTATAAATAAAGCAGCAATAAACATAGGGGTGCAGGTATCTTTTTAAATCAGTGTTTTTGTGTCTTTTGGGTAGATACCTAGGAGTGGGATTGCTGGGTCATATGGAAGCTCCATTTTTAGCAGTTTGAGGAACCTCCAAACAGTTTTTCATAGTGGTTGTACTAGTTTGCATTCCCACCAGCAGTGCAGGAAAGTTCCTTTTGCTCCATGTCCTCGCCAACATTTGTTGTTGCTAGTTGTTTTTAAGATGTGCCATTCACATGGCACATGGGTGAAGTGGTATCTCATTGTGGTTTTAATTAGCATCTCCCTTATTACAAGTGATGTTGAACATTTTTTCATATGCTTGTTGGCCATCTGCATCACTCTTTGGAGAAGTGTCTATTTCCTATTGTAACTTCCTTTTTTTTTTTTCTTTTTCAAGATCTATTTATGCATGCAAGAATTGGGGTACAGGCTAGTAATATGTGGGTTGGTGGTGGTGAGAGGATTCACCAGAGACAAAGTGGGGAACAGAACAAAACAGAGCAGGCAGACTGATGAGGTACACTACTGAGGAGAGCAGAGGGTGAGTCAGGAGAGGTCTGCCATGCCAAACCTGGCAGGAGATCAAACTCATGCAGCAGTGGCTGTGATAGCTTCATAGTACTGTGATTTAACCTGTTGCACCCACAGGGAGGGCCCTCCTGTTATAACTTTCAATGGCAAAGTGTACTACATTTGATTATGAATTTAAGGATGGTGGAAATAATTCTTTATTTTCAATTCTCAATTTATTTTGGAATCTAGCTTGTCCTTTTCCTTCCATTTAATTATAGCCTATATATCAACAAAGAATTGACATATAGATTAGAAGCTAGAAAAAAAATTTTTTTTTTTAAAGATTTATTTATTTATTCATATAGAACTGGGGTACAGGTCAGAGATGCGGAGAGTGAGAGGATTCACCAGAGACAGAGCGGGAAGCAGAACAGGCAGATTGACAAAGTACACTGCTGAGGGGAGCAGCGGGCGGGCCAGGAGAGGTCTGCCGCGCCATGTGGTCACCTCCGGGGCTGGCGGGATCGAACTCATGTGGAAGTGGCTTAAGCTTCTTAGTGCTGTGCTTTAACCCGCTGCACCACCAGGGAGGGCCGCTAGAAAAATTTTTTATGGTAAAAGAGAATTGCAGTGTTTATATCTATAGTGATTTCATATAGTAATGCCTTGAATCAGTTGAAGCTATTATCCATTCTGTACTTGGTATGATATTGATATTCTTTGCCTGAATAGAAATTACTATTAATTTTATAATAGTTGTGAATTGATGGTCTAATGAATTTTTGTTAGTCAAAAGTTTTCCATAATATGTGTAATTTTAAGGCATTAATTAGCTCTGCAAAAGACAAGTAAGTAAAAAAGTAAGAGTATTACTTAATTACATATTATATAAATATTAATTATACATTATGTTTATCTGCTATGCCATGTGGGTACTCCCTGGCCAGGGATTAAATGTAGGCCATGGTGGTGATAGTGCTGAGACTAACCCCTGTGCCACTAGGAAAGCCCCCTGTTTCATCTAGATACTGGAACTCTATCTTTTATCGTCCATCACAAATATAAAGTTTTAGCATCTTTCCCACTGCTCCCCCTGATTCCTGTTTATCATTTGGCCAGCTGGACCTGAAACAGGAATTGATGTAGAAAACAGGTTCACTATAAAATGAATTTACCACTGCTGGTTTTAGAGCTTGTCTCTCTATCCAGTGTCAGTTACTTACATTTGTTTTTATTCCTCATTGTGTATTTTACCCTGCCAAAGATACTTTTCTGTGTTATTTTCCCCCAGAAGCACTTAAATGTAGACTTAAACAGCATAGTCTGGGTTAGTATTACCAGAACAGGGTTACCAGTTCTTAAAACAAAATGCAATGTTCCTTAGATAATAAAAAACCTTTTAAAATGTTGCAGCGCCTTGGGGCCATTTGCATTATTAGCAATTCATATATTCGTGTATATATAAAAATTTAAGGACATTGATCAGAATTTCCTCTGATGTACTTAAAAACAAAAACTTAAGTATCTCATTTACTTTAATTTTTCATGTACTCATAGAAATAATATAGAATAGGCCCTCCCTGGTGGCGCAGCGGGTTAAAACACAGCACTGAGAATCTGAAGCCTCTTCCGCATGAGTTCAATTCCCGACCTGCCCCGGAGGTGACCACATGGCGTGGCAGACCTCTCCTGACC